ATAAAGATAATATACCAAGTCTTTGTTCTTAGGAGCAAGGATATCGTTGTCCATACTTTGTTCCGATAGCACAAAGACCACTTTACCCTAGCCTGTTCGTAGCGATAAGAAATTTTGCCTTTTTGAATTTGAAATCTGCTTTAGAATTTTATTCAGAAATGGCACGGCATGCCAGCTGCAGACGCTGCAACATATTTGAATAAACATACAATACTAGGTGTTTTGCGTGGCAGGATCAGTCTTTGTAACCCAGCGCACCATTTGAATTTGAAATCTCTGTCTGCGGTCTACGAATTATAATATTATTTGACATGCCTTCGGTAAAAATCCAATATGAAATTAAAGACGAATTTGTACAAAGATTTTATTAAAAGGACATGCATGCCAGATGGGGAAGCGAAGCTTGAAACTTCAGTTTGATGATTTTAAGTTGGCTCATTGCAATTGATTATTAAAAAATATAATGTAAATGTAAACTATCATTTATTTCAAATATATGAATAGATATTTCGACTTATGATTTAAAAAAAATATACTTTGGTATTTAAGTTATACACACCGTTTTTTGGTTAACAGTGAGACGCCCTATACAGGTCCTTAAATGCATGGGCGAAACCAAATTATGCAAAATGTTGTAAAACTCAAGTACATAAGATGTACGGTAAACATTGAAGACTTCTGTTTACAGGAAAAATATTTACCTGAGCTTACTGGCTGCTATTCTCATGTAACACTCGACGGTGAGCTCATCGAAGCCGAAGCTTGCAGTACTCGTTGCTGTATAAATTATTTTCTTGTAGTCTAGATCGACGTTATGATCGGCAAAAACCATAGAACACAGTCAGAGGTTTCTGTGTTCTGTGGATTACAACCTTGCCGCCATGCGACGGTTTAGAGCGACCCGCCGAGCGATGCGAAAATTCAATACAAATATAGGTACCTATTACCTATTTTAATGTTAAAGGTAGGCTTAAGTGGAAGACAGTGTAACAAAGGGCAAAGTGTAACAGTAGTATATACAAGTAGAAAATCTCACTAATATTATAAAGGCTAGCTGACACCCTGGATTAACACATAGGCTACGTTTTACTGCGGGAAAATATCCCTAATAATCTGCGGGTAACACCGCAGGGCACAGTATCTCTATATACCCGGCCTTTTGACGTCTGTTGACAGCTTTTTAAGATGACGGTCTAATAAAACATATCATAGACAGATAGGAGGCAGAGATATTCCTTTGTTACACTCCATACCGAGGTCTGTTTTCCGAGACCAATATAATCTGGACATCTTCAAGGCCAGAGTGAACAGGCATCTTCTAAGCAAGCGTGTAACATCTTAGGCCTCATCATCGCTTTTCATCAGGCGAGATTGTGGTCAAACGCCATGCCTATTAAGCATACCTACTACGTCACGCAGTGACACCCACAACTAAAACCATAATTATAAACGAAAATATATTAAGTCACTAAATTATAACCGAGGATGTAGGCTCACAGAATATCACCACTTATTACCCATCTCAAAATTGGGATGACTCATAAATTCGTTCTTTCCCCAATAAGTACATTACCTGTCAGCCAAACGATCGAAGTTGTTCGAGGCTCGTAACATCTTTCGAGTTCGTTGAGTGAGGTGAACTTGTGCGGTTATCACCCGCGCTGTAAGCCCGTAAATTACTCATAGTCAGTTCGCAAGTCGTTTGTATGCTAAATGAAGTACTAAATGGACAAGTACTCGACAGAAAAAAAAGTTAAGATTAAGGTGTAGCTATAGGTACATAGATTTGATTAAGATGTTATAAAATAACCAAAGTTAGACTGAAGCATAGAAAATACAACTGTTTCGTAGCCATTTGTAAAACAGTTTTTACATAGATAGTTTTTACCAACAAAGAGTTTAAACTAAGGAAACTTTTTTTTTAATTACTCAGTATAATTATATTATACCTAAATAAAGTGACCAGCGTGTCTGTCTATATGTTCGCGAAGATCTTGTGGATGAAAATTACTGAAAGGGTTTTCTTGCAGTTTAAACCATCATTTTAAAAAAAAAACACTAAAGTTTGTATACTCAAGAAGTTTAAATAAACCCGAGAATAAACTATAATCTACACCCCAAAGTGTGTATAGTAGGCGTGCCAACTATCTACCACTGAACCACCGATTCTTGCTGTTAATGCCTGAATTTTTAAATAACCACCAAAAATGTAATGCAACTTGCTAAAGATGACCGAAAATTGATTTGGCGATGTAGTTTTTGTTTTTTAGAAAAGTTTCACTTTAAAAGGAGTATCATGCATGCTGCATCATATTTATTGGTAGCCATCGACAATAATAAACACGTTTAAAAACTTAATAAATCCGGGTACATCAAAATACTGTTGTACATAGGCATAGGAACCTAAGTACTATGTGGCAATTTGTTTATTCGAGAGCTTTTACGATGCTTGCGGCTTTACGGCCGCCGTTCGACTTTGAATCTTGTGCAAATGGCATAAGGTCGGATAGAACGGGAACGTTACAATGTATTACAAACGAGAAGCCGATGTAATGAAACTATAAAGTTTCCCGGAGCGTGATCTGGGTGCAGGTGGCGCGGTAGCAGGGGTGCCACTAAGGCCGCCTTATTTCATCCATAGTTAAACTTGAATATATTATGTATCTAAATCTTAATAAAATTTAACTAGAAAAAAATCCACGAGGATCAGGCAGCAGACGGGACTCGAACCCGCACCCTTCGCTATCCGGGCGAATGCACTGACCATTATGCTACCGCGGCCCTGATGGTCGTTCTAAGGCTGCAACGAAAATTTATTCTAGTACAATTTTCTTTAGATTTAATCATCTAGCAGTCAAATGCTTAAAATATAAAAAACACTATCGGTAGTCTGTACCTAGTTAAAAAACAAGAGAAAAAATTACCAGTTGTCGAAATTTTACACATAATCAATGTATTTGACGTGGCATTACCTATAGTAAAATTTTACCATAGATAGGACAACGCGGCTTAAATTGCAGAAAAATACGTCATACCTGGGTGACGAGTGGGATTAGACTTGAGAAAAATCTCAGATGTCACCCCAATCTTAGTTAAAAAAATATATCATGAATCTTATATATCGCCATCGGTTCGCAAATCTACGGCGGGAGACCTTGTACTGAGAAGAACCGGCAAGAAACTCAGCAAGGGCTGTTTTTTCTCCCTGTATTATATATAGAGTCGTCAAATTGAAATTGGAAAGGAAGTTTCTTTGTTTTTTAATAAGCATTATTAAGAAAGCTATACGTCAAGAACTAGATCGGCGGCAACCCTGACATCATGTCACGCGTCAGTCTGTCCAAGATCCTCCCGTTTTATACCTACTGTTTACAGCGGAGGAGCGAAAGTTAAATATGATACAAAACAACACCCGGAAGTTGGACGCGTACCGTAAATTGAGTTAACTATGTGTTATACCTTGGGTTCCGAACCTAATAACCGAAACTAATATAGGTTAAATCAGCCATACTTCTGGGGTAACAAAGAACCTAATTATTTGGTCAAATCTAAATAGTAAGAAAATACTATATAATAATACTACTAAATAGAGCATGCGCTCCTTCTTGCTAGCAACCCCGCGGGGTGCTGAGTGTGGGAAGCGGGGCGAGATTTTCTCTTAATGATGACGTTATGCGGCCAAATTGGAATTTCTTGGACTGATGATAACATTTTAAAGTCGGGGTAAAATCTGTTTTGCTAATAGGTTACAGGGGTAGCAGTATTGGAAAGGTTAGGAAACACTGTGGTATACCTTAATACTGTGCTCTTTTGCATGACGCCCTCAAACACCTTTAGGGTGTGGTGGGATGTGCACCGATTTTCAATTTTCAAAGGTCCTAGCTTCGAATCCCGATATGCCAAATGTTTGTATGATTAATACGAGCTTAACTTATGGCTGTTTATAGGGTTTATTTCTATAATATAAGTTTTTAACTTATGTATCATTATTATCTATAATCTACATGTTATTCTAGTATCCCATGGTCACTCTATTCACTAGAGTGACACTAGAGTCTAGTGTCCATAGGGAAGGCCTGTGCCTCAGCAGTGGGGACATTAATATGATGATGATGTGGTTTTTTAAACACTCAATACGTATGAGTGAAATACAGTTGATACTGTGTTTTCGGTGAACATGAACTTTATGTTCAGAGATGATTAAGAGCAAGGTTAAATAAATTACAATAATTATTGAATTAACTTTAAGCCCTGCCATCTATGTTTAGAGTCTGTGCGGAATGAGAATGGGCGTGGCGAAAAACGGAACTAACATTAAGATTTTTATTTGGCAATCAAACCCAGCAATCTGTAAAACGTCAAAGTTTTGTATTGATACGGATTTGTTTGTTGTTGTGATTTCTTGCGGTTTTTTGTATTTAATCATGTCTAAAAGGGGTAAAACCTTACAAATACGGTAGAAAAGCACTACAGCGCCCTCCAATCTAATTCCCATTCCCTTTCCGCACACTCTATTAATTATAGTCAAAGAGTATTCATGTGAGTTAAAAAAAACGAACTTAGTTTTACTTACAAAGTTCCTTTTGTGTAAAGAAATGGCGAGAGAAACAAAATTTAAATTGAAGTAAATGAAATGTCAACTTTATGGATTGCCTTGAACCTTCGGTCTTGATCGAAGCCTTCAACTCTACACGAAACAATGTTTTGTAATTATACAAACAATCCCGGTGGTACTTAATTTGGTACTTATTTAAGTACTTCGGCACTGCGTCCATGAATCTTAACTATAACTAATTGCATCGACCGATTGTGAAAAGCAAATGTTTTGTTTTATTTGAAAAAGCAATTACATTTGTTATGCTCTCTGTATTTTCATGTTTACAATAATTCTACAGTACGCATCGCTTATGATGAACAATGTCACATGTTAAACCTTAATTATTGATAATATTTTAAAAATTGAAATTCATTATAATAATATAAAAAATTCTTTGTTTCAGAGTTGAAGATGAACCCACATCTCCAGGGGCGAAGTCAAAGTAAGTCCTCATTTTAACTTACGAGTATATTATTTAGTAGGTACTGGTTGGCTGGTTTGGCCAAAGGAAACACAGAACCATCTAAAGGTAGGTAGAGTTATTTTAGTTTACGGTGGTCTTCTGTTACCTATATGGCTTATGGTTTCGTTTATGGCTGGTTCATGCGTCATGCTCGTGAACGGGTACTGCCAGTTGATATGAGTCTGGCCTAACCACTTTGATATTTAAGATGTGAATGATTAATAACACCTATTATAAATAACTCTTTTTATATTTATACTGTGTGACACATCAATCAAAATGCAGGTGAACAATTAATGTATAATTTCACATTATGTAATGAAAGGTGACTTCATGAAACATCTCTGAAGTCATTTTTCATCTTGACGACTCCGTAAATGATAAAACAGGGAAAAAAAAGCAGCCGGTTCTTCTCAGTACAAGGTCTCCCGCCGTAGATTTACGAACCGATGGCGTAGCTTCTAGACATTCATATGTGCTTGTAACAGCCTAAACTGAATAAATGATTTTGATTATGATTATTATGATTATGGATGTAAGTTCCTCAGACGGGAGCTCCGATTCGAGCGGAAAACCCGCTCTCTCTTGAACATCGTTTAGGTTAACTGTGTTAGAGGCAATTATATCGTTTACGCTACAGATGTTTGCAAATAGCTACCGTCTGTATTCAAAGCAACGTAGATAAATTAGCTCAAAAACAATTAATTCATAACAAGTGTGTTAGTAATTTGGGTAGCTATAGTTGTTTCTTTGTGTTCATCATTTGGCGTACAAGTGTCGTGAACTGTAAACGTGACTTAGTACTGAGAGTACAGATTGGATAGTTCTTAACGTGTCGTATTAGAGTTCACATTGTCGCAATGCGGAGGCGAGGCAGCAAGTTTAAAAAGCGGAAACGGTTCGTTGCAATTTAATTATTTTTGCCTTTGTTAATTGTTTTGTATTGAAATCTTCTTCACGTTGGTTCATTCATCACCTATTTTATTTAAATTTCGCTTTTCAAAGTGTTTTTCTCGTCCTAGTATTACGTTTTGTTCAAAATTGGTGCTAAATCAGGTGAGGGGGCACCGTGGTACGACTGCAAATCGCATTTGGCTGTTATTATGATTAAAAATCTAGTTTAGAATACTTAGTTTACAATAATAAACTATTATAAGTTATTGCTTATAAAGCAAATTAAAACTACTGCGATAATCAAAAAAGAAATAGATTTGACATTGTGGGTTACAATGCGAAGAGATGGCGCTGCCTTGCAGTCTAAGACTAGAGACAATTCGACGCGGCCGTCAGGCCCGCGGTGGCATGGTCTGTGCATTCGCCAAAGCGAATTTGATAGCGAAGGATGCGGTTCGAGTCCCGTGTGCTGCTTGGTCCGCGTGGAATATTTTATACTTGACTTTTCTTTAGATTTATACATCTAGCAGTTAAATGCTTAAAATATTAAAACAAAGAAATAGATTATTTAAATTTCAATGCTGAGGCCCATGCACGAACTTTGACAGATCAGTAATCGCATCGTTATCTTCAATTTTTTTATGGAAGGAGCCCGTTTGTTTTAACTTCCGGTAGAAACTTTAACGATGCGATAAGAATACTGTTCGTGCCGGATAGCAAACCTTTTATATCATTCCTTTATATTCGTTTATGAGATTTTCATACTTTTTTAATTTAGATTGTTTTTTGCTCTTTGACATTAAAAAGTATTGTTTTACCTTGTCACTGCCACCTTTTTTTTCTTCTCTTTAATAATAATTAAAAATACAGTCCTTATACTCCACAATGTTTGTGTTTGGGTCTCAGACGACGGGCTGACGTCATTCCACTTAACTCTTTAACTTACAGACATCCTAACCCTCCCCTTTCTTAAAATACTCATTCAATGTTTATTTTGAATTTAATACAGTACAGCACTTGAATCATGTATGTTGTAAAATATGTAAATGTTTAATTAACCAGACTCGAGATAAGACAACAGAGAACAAGTTAACTTTGAACGTCTGGATTAACTTTTTTATTTTGTCCTAAAAAGCATCTGGGGGGTCGTCTAGCTCATGTTATATTAAAATTGTCGGGATAAAACAGATTCTCATTTTTTGTTAGACGTTTAAGATGCCAATGGCAAGAAAATATTAGGCACCTATTAATTTTCAAACGACTTCAAAAAGAAGGAGATTCTTAATTCGCTTGTTTGTTTTATTTGTTACTCTACACTTTATATCGCAAATAAGCTTAAATGCAATTATTATGTTAAACATAATAATTTTATATTCCAGTATAAAAGAACGCAATTCCCAGTATCGGTGTGTTATGCAATGACAATAAATAAGGCCCAAGGGCAGACTTTTCGTGTTGCTGGAGTAGATCTCGGTGTCAGTTGTTTTTCACATGGTCAGTTATATGTCGCTCTTTCCGAGGTTAGCAGTTCTAGAAATCTTTATGTTCACGTGCCGGACGGGTCAACTTTCAACGTAGTTTACGCTGAAGTATTTTCATTCTATATGTACTTAAGCATCATGTGAAAGTGATCTAAACAATATTACCAATACATTAACATAATAACATACAAGGAGTTACACGCTGATGGTCTCGGGGCACAGCTATTAATAATAATATTCTGCGGTTCCTTATTGCGATATTTTTTAACAGTATTGTGGATTGACATATTATATTTCCCTACTAAAATACGAAAGTTAATCTGTCTGTCACATCAAAACCACTGAACCCTGAGGAAGGACATATGCTACTTTTTTACGAAAAACGACGAAAACGCGGACGAAGTCGCGGGCAAAAGCTAGTGTTAAACATAAAATTAAAATGTAAAGGGTTTTTATTTAAAGCGAGTATGTTAGGTACTCAAATGTCCGGGGTTTATAAAGTTTAGGTCCAGACGTCAGAAATTTAAGCGAGGGCAGCGTATCTACGTTGACTCAACGATTCCTACATTATAATGACAAATTAAATTTTGTAATAACTGTAGTTTATTTTTAGTGCTTAATGTTTTTCAACATTTGTTTAATAGCTTGATCACTATGATTCATGCTAAAGGATGACGCACTAGACGGCATTGTTCGTAATCGTACCAAGAGTTAAATTATCACACGACCATCTGTCGGCTTACAAACCTTGACTTTAAAGTTTTTGATAATTACGAATTTATAATGCACATACATTTAGTAAAAAAGTACTAAATACATTTGCATTACATATGTATGTATGTATGTAACTCTGTTAGGTACCTATTAACGCGGCATTACAACGCAATGCAAATCATAATAAAATTGTAAATGTGTGCCTTAATAATTAAATTAATATCATGAAGCCTTAATTGGTCTAGTACCCATTGGACCCTCAAGATTCGACCCAAAAGCAAAAAGTGCCCATTGGACCTCTTTTTTGGTGTCCATTGGACCTTCTTAAAACATTTTATATTCAATGTGCCCATTGGACCTCTTTTTTGGTGCCCATTGGACCTCCTTAAAATGTTTATATTCAGTGTGCCCATTGGACCTTCAAGATTATACCCTACTGCCAGTTCGACCTTATTAACAGTTTTGATTAAGCACAGTACAGTCATGTAGAAAATTGCAGACAAAAATAAAATTAATAGAAGGTATTATAAAGCCACTAACTAAATACTGTAAAATCAGGTTACCTTTTTTCTTCGAATTAACGACATTTCGCCGTCCCCGGAGAATAAAAAGATAACCACAAAAACGTAAGTTTTCAGGAAAAATAAAAAAAAACTGTTTTTTGTCTATTGCTCGATAAATACTGGACGCAGACAGATGATAGTAACCTTTAAGAAAAGAAAATTTTTAACACATTTGGATTTTTTTGTAAGGTACTCGTACAATAAGATATAATGGAGATAGTTAGAAAATAAAAATTGAATCAAAAGTAATCAAAATTTAATTTGTATAATGTTTATTTTTATTTTATTCGTATTGACAAGGAGCCAAAACCAAATATTGCACTACTGACATGTATTTTAGTTCTATGTGTTATAAGGGTGCAAGTGACAATGATAATACTTCAATATCTTTTTTTTTCGTAAATATTGTAAAACCTTTTTTTCTTTAAAGGACATAATATATGTTTGTGCTTTAGGTTTAAAAGAATGATCATTAATTACATTAATTTAAAATTTAATTACATTAATAGTCATTAATGTAAAAAGGTTTCACTCAATAGGGCGATCGTACACTGACCAATAAATACCCTTACAGCGCAACACCAAATCCACAAGACCTTTCAAATCGAACAAAGTTCGATTGATTCAAAGTTCCTTAAAACAGCTTGGATCTAGACAATCTAAGCAACATGATGGTGGATTTTGCAACGAAATCATCTTTTGATCTAAGACTGAAATGCTGAGGTAGATTGAGTGTTTTTATCGACATTTATACTCCTCTTAAGCACCTAATGAAAGGAAGGTTATAGATTCCAAGCCCAAGCAATCTCTGCGCTTAAACAAAAGGATGGCGCCGATCTCATGTGTGGGAGAGAGAGAAAATTTGCTGTCTCGTTCCGATTTATGACCTACGTTGCAGCTAGAAAATAATCTTACAACCGTAGGCCATTGCTTAGAAAAATTACTCACATATGTATCTTAAATATTTAATTTGGTAATTTATAATGTTTTACAAAAGACTGTTAAATTTTTTATGGAGGTAGGTAGTGGGGTAGTGGGTCTTTTGGCAGACTCCAAGTTTTTATGAGACGCAGCGCACTTAATTGTGAATCGTTTGACAAAAAACTAGAATTTTATTTTATCCCGGTTTTTTATATTTAAATAACATAAATCTATCTAATAATTGATTTGCAAATGGCAAGTTTATTTGTCTATTTTTTGTTGCCAAGCATCAAATATATTATATTCAATGCGTAACAAAAGCAGTGATAATAATTTTGATAATAATCCATGACTGGACTGATTGACATTTGCCATAGTGATTGAGTTGACGTTATAAGCCACCACGCACTAAAAATATGACGTTACTAAGATAGGGTAGCCAGTATACTTAAAAAATTGTTTAATTATTAAACACGATTTAAATTAATCGGTAATGAATAAAAAAATCGAAGTATCTATACATGTTATACAAACTTTCAAAATATATATATTTCGTCCCTGCCGGAAACCGACTACCGCTTTTGAACAATATCCTTTAGTTAAAGTATGTTTTTATTATAAGCAATTTCTGGCTAATTGTAAAAATATGATTAGAAATCATTTTTTTATAAAATATAATATGAAAATATTACATTTGTATTTTATTTTATGAATATTTAGAATACATAATAATTGTGCTTCAATAGTTAATGTGAGTGATATAAAAACTGTATGTATAATTTAGTTAAGATATCTGATAAAAAAACATTTCTATTTAAAAGTAAAATAACAAAATCTGTGATTTGATTATTATATTCTATGGTTTGTTGCTGATGATTGATGTTTCGCATTTTATAAATATGTAGATTTTAAATACTTACATTTACAACCTTTGTGCTTTTATTTATTTTATCAATATTTAGAATATATAATAATTGTGCTTAATCTGTGTGATATAACAAACCATATTTATAATTAAGTTGAGCTATTTGATAAAAAATAATTTCTATTGGCTTTAAAAGTAAAGTAAAAAATCCGTGATTTGATTATTATATTTTATGTAAATATTTATATTGGTTGTTACTGATGGAGAGTTTTGAATTTTATAAAAATGTTGATTAAATACTTAGATTTATAACCTTTGTGTTTTTATGTCTTTTACAATGTTACTTTACTACACGACTGTACTTTACCGTTCCAAAAGAATTAGCCAAATAGTTAAGAGCTCCAATAGCTCCCATAGTGTTGTTAAGTACGTCTTTGAGGGTCCAATGGGCACCATGTTCTTGATAGGAGGTCGAACGGGCACTTTTTTGTAGGTAAGGTCCAATTAGGAGGGTCCAATGGGTACTAGACCCTTTTAATTAATAAGATGAGTTATTAAAGCAAAACACACCAATAAAACTAAATCAATTAGTTCTAAAAGATGATTTCAATTTGTATACCATGTTTTTTTTTATCTTTTATTGTTTAGGAGCTTTTGTCCGATGACATGACAGCTCCATCGAAACAAACTAACGAGTACTGAACTAATCAATTAAGAATTGTAAAATTATTACATTAAATTTCATACTTGTGTAATTTACTGGCAGCATTCCACTAAACTACACAAGTATAATGCGGTTTCTGATTCGGGGTTGGTATAACATGTTAATCGTCCTTAAAGTACCTTCAGAAGAACCACAGGTAGATAGTGGTATACCGTGATTCCACCAGTGGGACAAACCAGTGGGACCATGAGCCTTTGATCATCATGCTTCATAAGGAATGAAAAGGACAGACTGATGCCAAGTTTACAAATAGCAAACACGCATAGCCAAGTGAAGTACTGGATTATACCATAATCGATCGCATTATTCTCGCGATCTCTACAAATAGACGTTTTAATTGTTGCAGTGAAAAGAATGGGTACATCACACCTCCACAACAGAACGGGGGCGAAGAGTCCCCCCCTCCGGAGAAAGAGAGAGCAGACCAAGAGGATACGGAGAAGAGTCACTCGGGCCCAGTGCCTCACAGCGCAGAAGGGCCCAATGACGATCTATACGCGATACCGGTCAAGCTGAGGCCCAAGAAGGAGCATCTGCCCCCGGGCTGGGAGAAACATGAAGGTAAACACGCATTTAATCAATCACTTTTATAAACAAGTAGTTATTCGGCAGCTCTTTGGTGTGGCGACGGGCGAAGACAGTGCCGTCTTTACCTATTGGAGGCCCTGGGCATATTAGGATAATGGGGGTAAGTCATAGGGGGACTTCCGTTTGGTGATTTAACAGGAACTAGGGACTTTGTATTTAATCTGAGGGGGCCCCCTATCGATCGCGAGGCCCTGGGCACTTGCCCAAAGTGCCCACTGGGAAAGACGGGTCTGGGCGAAAAGCCCCCCTACTCCGAGTTTAGGCAGCAATTAATGATTTTTTTTCAGAGAAGGAAGAAAAATATGTTTTAAAAAGGGAATTAAAAAGTTACTTACCCGGACAAATAAGTGTCTTCAGACTATATTGATGATACATAAATTTTATTCAGATTTTCCGCTTATTATCCCATGCCTATACCGAGAATACATTGAACTTAAGGGCGGAGCCAGGGGGGCGGTCATGGAGGTCATGTCCCCCCCCCCCGGGCTGGGTCCATCTGTACCCACTTAATAATCTTTACTTCACAATCTGTACCCACTGTGACTTGACCACGACTATATGATTCCCCCTGGCTATATGATTCGTAACTATTACTCGAATGCTTAAACGTTAAACAACGTCATCATTTATTCTTTCAGACAACGATGGTCCCTACTACTGGCACATAAAAAGTGGTACCATACAGCGAGAAGTCCCGAAGATGCCGCCGGTGGAAGCGAAGGATTCCCGCATCTCGATGGTGCGGGACTGCTCGAACTTGTCGGAGGTGAACAAATACGAGGGGGTGATGACGTCATCGGTCACGCGGAGCACCACCAGCGGCGCCCTGGACCACGCGGACAGGCAGGAAGAAGACAGGAGGAGGAAGGAAGAGATGTCATATAAGTGAGTAGCTGCAGCTTTTGTTTTGTGATAAAGAGTAACTAATGGGAATAGGGTATTTGACAGTATTAAAAATAAAGTGCCAATTGTTAGCATCTGTATTTAGAATGAATATTGGCAGGAGTTTATACTATTTTTACAGAAAAAAGTATCATAATTTTACTAAAAACCCCCGATAAAGATAATACGACGCCCCCCCGCGAATAATCCGGTAATCGTAAAAGTGTAAATGTTCAGGAAAAATAAAAAACCATTTTTACTTCAACTTCATTAAACAACAAGTATCAGAAACTTTTTATATCGCATATGGAAGCTATTTTTTTCAGCTATCTGGTTATTTCAACAAAATTTAAGTAGTCCCAAGGGCTTCGTTATAATTTAGCTGGATGCATTTTACTATATCAGTGTAGGTCAAGCTCTGGTCAGTAATGTCACTTACGATATTGTTCGTGTAAATTTATATTTTCGACGGCCGCAGTAAAATCGTGTTGCGCTATTATTTGTGTAATTTGTTTTGTTTACTGAACATTTGTAAAAAGCAATTATTAGGTTATTCGATTGTTTAACAGTAACGTCCATTTTATTGTTATGGCTATTATTGTTTATTCAAATAGTTTACTTAATTATTATTTGATGATTATTATAGTTATATTTTGTGAAATAAAGGACATCCTAGTAAATGAAACAACTTTGGTTAATTTGACAAAACACGATAGTCATTATTATCATAAAAAAATAGACACTGCATCCTACTTTTTCTCCTGTCTTATCTTGAAGCCATCTTTTGGGTTCAACAAGTTCTTTTATCTTGAGGATTTCAGATTTTTGCATTTCTTTTAGGATATATTGGTCTCCGGAGACTTTAGCGTTCATGATGATACTGTATACTTGGTCCGGTGTGTACAAAACTTTGTTTTTCAGAGCTCTTTCAATACATGCGTGCATGAAGTCGCCTTCATTTTGGCTATGCCCACCAACAAAAAACCGATGGGTATTTGAAGAGTCATTGCAATATACAGATACAATGCAAATACACACATCAAAAGTGTCTAGGGATCAAGCATTTTTATGCGGATTTCTTGAGATTGAGATGTGGCTTTGTAATAAATTTATGATTTTATAAATTTATATGGATCCTTTTTGGTGCATTTCATAATTTGAATCAGGAACTGTGAATCAAATTCGAGTAAAAGATGAAAATCAGCTGTCAATATTTTCCCTATAAAAACATACAACGCATTGAAGACATTATTAGTGCTACTGTTTCCCTACTACTGATTAAAACCAACGTTATTATGGAGCGGCGACGTCATTTAAGCAGGGAAGAAATGCTCAGAGCCGTGGGAATGATAGAAGCTGGTTCCCGGCAACGTACTGTGGCTTTAGCTCTGAATACAAGTCAGAGTGTTATCAGTCGACTTTGGACACGATACCGAAGCACTGGTACCGTGGCTGAGCGCCATGGAGGACGGTATCGCTGCACCACACGGAGACAAGACCGATACATTCAAATCTTAACTCGAAGAGCTCCAACAATAACCGCCATGATGTTAGCCGTGAGGCTTCATCACTCTTCAGGGAACTTAATTAGCGACCAAACAGTCAGAAACCGCTTGCATGAAGTGAACCTTCATTGCCGAAGACCGCTACGGGTACCACCTATAGCAATGCACAATCGTAGGATTCGATATCAATGGGCTCTTGAACACAGAAATTGGGCAGAAGAACAATGGCGTTTCGTGTGCTTTTCTGATGAGTCTCGTTTTGGTATGAGACCGGATACAAGACGTATACGACACTGGAGAACCCCTGGACGCCAACAGCGATTAAAATCCTGCCAGGAAGTCCATCCTTATAGTGGTGGAACCATCATGGTATGGGCGGGTATTTGGATCGGCGGAAGAACTGAGTTGATTTGGATCAGAGGCAACCTCAACGCTCAAATTTATGCTGAGACGATTGTATCAGACGTCATCGTTCCTCTACAAGTGCAAATCGGTCCCTTATTTCAGTTAATGCATGATAATGCACGAACGCACACCGCAAGAGTTGTAAGACAGACTCTCGCCGCAGCTAACATCAATGTCCTGCCCTGGCCTGCTCAGTCGCCAGACTTGAACCCGATTGAGCATGCATGGGATATGCTACAGAGAAGAGCTCTGCCGAATATGGAGGGTATCCAGTCGCAAGAAGACCTTTTTTTGTTGTTGCAACGAACATGGGCGGCCATTCCACAGCGTGATTTGGATGAACTCATTTTGAGTATGCCAAACCGATGTTCTTGTGTTGTTAGTGTTCGCGGTAGAAATACGGATTATTAATTGTTTAAGTTACCCAATAAAATTTTAGAGAAAACTGTTATTTCAGTCTTTTTTTCCAACTTTTGTGTTAGTGGTTCAAATGTCAAAAATCCCTTTATTAGGAAAATGGCAAATTTCTTTATTAATGCAAAGGTGACTTGGTTTATCGTTACTGTGACAAACGAAAACACTTTATTTGATGAATCCTTAAAGAAAATTTTAATTAATATCAATCAGGAGAAAAGTTATTGCATAAATATATGTTGATCCCTAGACACTTTTGATGTGTGTATGTATCTGTTTTTATTCTAGCCATAACAACCATCAGAGTAAAATAAAAATTTGCGTAGGTATACCTTTTTTGTGTACGGTCTTGACAAATTGAAACAAGCAAGTCCCTATTTCGATGCGCCCTTTTTCCGATTTGAGCTTGCCAAACGTAACAGAACCCTAGTTTGTTAAGAGCGTCAAAAACTGTAAAATTGTAAATCGGGTATTTACGTTTGTAGTGGAAAATTGACACTTCAGACTGTGGTACATTCAAAACTTTTTCTAAATCAAAAAAAGCCATCATCTTTATTAAGTGTTTCTTTTTCTTCTTTTTTAATTTCACGAACTTTTTTTTCCTTCTCAAATGTTTCCTGTGATTTTCTTCTTAAGATGCCTTTTCAATGGAGTCAGCTTGCTGATATTGTGAACATAAAGTACACTGATCCTGTTTAAGCTTAAAAAAGGAATAGTTGCATTTACTATTAAACACTCTTTCATACTGTCGTTTTGAAGCCATCTCAACAATATCAGGATAGTTCTGATTTCAAGCCATGACTTGTAAAGCCGGTACATTTTTAAAATATTAAGAGATTCAGACAAATATTCTCGTTTATTTTCGATTCGATTTCTGATACTGTCTTCTGTATCTAGCTTCATTTATGTGGTATATTCTGATGCCTGTCTCGTTTATCGATCATACTTTCATCTCTTTTAATGTTTTCTAAGGCCGTGTAAATCATAAAAATGTTATTTTCCCCTCAAAGATGAAAAAATCCAAGTATACAAGGTATTTTTTTAAATACTCTTTCTATTACTGAGCAAATGATTTACACGGCCTTAGAAAAAAATAAAAGGGATGAAAGTTTTATCGATAAACGAGACAGGCATCAGAATCGATCACATCAAATGAAGCATTTATATCCCAAAGTAGAATCGCATTACACGAGAAAAGAGTCTAAACGAGAATATTTGTCTGAATTTCTTAATATTTCAAAAAACGTACCGACTTTACAAGTCATGGTTTGCAAATCAGAACTATCCAGATATTGTTGAGAAGGCTTCAAAACGACAGTATGAAAGAGTGTTTAATAGTAACTACAACTATTCCTTTTTTAAGCCTAAAAAGGATCAGTGTCCTTTATGTTCACAATATCAGCAAGCTGACTCCATTGAAAAGGCATCTTTAGAAGAAAATCACAGGAAACATTTGAGTACGAAAAAAAGAGTTCGTGAAATTAAAAAAGAAGAAAAAGAAACACTTAATAAAGATGACACCGTTGTGGCCAATTATTTAATTTAGTGATCTAAGGCAGTTGCCTCCATTGTCCAAAACAACAGACAGGAATTACTGCTTTCTTCAACCTGCGACATAAACGTCATTGATTGGTATTGTATATAGAGTGATTAAAAACATTTGAAGTTAACTTCTGGCATCTACATATTGGGTTTCTGTGAATTATGTAGGTATATCAAATTATGAGACTAGGGACTGACACTGAATTTGTGTATATTGTCTTAGACGTCCGGCATTGACATGACAATGCAGCCACTGCCAATTTTAAATAGTCGACGAATAAAAGTAAATGAATTTTATATTTACTGCTAAACTATTAAAAAAAAAACATAAACAAAAGATGACTTTTTGAGTAAGTGCTAGTTTACTATAAAATTTACATACATTAGCGATATTTATGTAACGACTTGATTTAACTTCACACATTTTTGCGAAAATTGAGGCCCATCTGTAGCCTTGACCCCGCTCTTTATATGTCTTAATAAATCAATCTTTTAGACCGACACAAGGTACTTAATAATTCCCGCGATATTAATTCCCATACTGAAGTAACAAGACTACGGTATATACCGTCTTAAAATACTAACTAAAAAGTGTGAAATAAAAAAGGTAAATTTAAAAAATCAAAAAACCCGACTGCTTAATTATTATACTTCAAATAAAAACTGAAAAGAAAAAAACAAGTCCAGTAGTCTATAATTCTGTTAATAAGGAACAAAGCTACTTTAACAGTCGGGACCCACTGTTGAAAAATATTATGTATTCTTGAATATCTAATGGGTCCCGACTGTTAAAGTAGCTTTGTTCCTTATTAACAGAATTATAGACTACTGGACTTGTTTTTTTCTTTTCAGTTTTTATTTGAAGTATAATAATTAAGCAGTCGGGTTTTTTGATTTTTTAAATTTACCTTTTTTTTTAGAACTATTTAAGAGATACATTTTTACTCTACATTACATTCATGTAGCTTTTATTGTTTTTGCAGTGCAGGCCAAAATGGCTCGCAGATGGGAGATTTTTTTCCGTCTTATGTGACACTTATTGTTATATTTTCGCCAATTCACTCAATAACAACATAAATTATTATATTATATATGTTATTATCATATATGAGCTATATTACTGTTAAGTTTCATTAAAATCCATTCAGTATTTTTAGGTGAAAGAGTAACAAAGATCCATACAAACGTAAGATTGAAATTGGGCAAGTTATTAATATACAACTTTAAAGCGTTGTAGATCCTAAACAATCATATAAAATGAAAAATGGTGTTAGGAACCTCAACATGATTTTCGATTATCTAGACAGTGATACCCCACTCGACATATTTTGTCAACTCATTTTTTTTTACTTCGTCACAATATGGCGCCTAATTGTCCCCATATTGAATTTTGATTACTATCATATCTTTAGTAGCACTCCCATGATTGAGACGAATCGATTGATGTATGAATCATCAAAATCGGTCCAGGCGTTTGGTCTCTAGTGTGCCACAAAGGAACAAACATACATATATAGACTGTTAAACACTATACCCTGTCTGCGCGTCGCGCTTCGCGCTCCTGCATTGCACAGTCGGGTAAAAAGGGCGCATCGAAATAGGGAGTTGCTGAAACTTGTTTACCCGAATAATATCGTAACAATGTTTACTGTCAAATCATATTGATATTTTTTTTCGTAAAAGTCTAAAACTTTAATAATATTATTCGTTTAAAATACATTTTAATGAATTTTTATGGAATATACGCGTAATTTTTCATATCTTCGTAAATAAAGATAGAAAAATTGTGAAAAAAAATTATATGGTGTATTTTAACTTCTAGATGCCGAAAAACGCATAACATGAAAAACCCCGTAATAGGTCATTACCGGATTATTAGCGGGGGACGTCGAATAGTTTTCTTGTCTTTTGTCACGTGACCCAAAACGCTTGGGATTGGTGGAGCCTTCCGGTTAAAGTGACATTATATTGTATGGTTTGACGTTTTAATCACAGTCGTGTGATATCACACCAGTGAGACGCTATATTGTCCAGAGATACGTTTTTCGCGGCAACTTGAAAATAGAGTTTTTAAATTTAGTTTTTTTTACCGAAATACACAAGGGGCCGTTCATAAAATACGTCACGCTAAAATCAGCTTTTTCCGACCCCCTCCCCCCCTATTGTCACGCTGTGTCACACTTTCTGTGACCCCTCTTGAAATATTCCGTCACAAAAACGGAGACCCCCCCCCCAAGTATGATTAATTTCAATTGATAGTACACAAATTTTAAGAATTTAAATATTTATTTAGTTTTTATAATAAAATTTAAATATTTAACAAAACAAAGGCCTGTGTTTAGCGCAGCAAAAAACAGTGTTTTTTTTTGGCGCGCGGGTGGTAAATCGAAGTTAAGTATTGGTAAAACAAAGAAATCGATTGTCACGAATTGTAACGCTGCTAGAGTCTAGTCAATAGGCTAGAGCCGCGCCACAGAGCGCTAATATCTAAAATAAACATGAGTAAATATATCAAGTTACAATTTATTGTATAATAAAACTATATACGTTTGAATGTCTATATGTTTACTAAATACGAAATAAATGATTTTCTATCTTGATGAAAATTGAGAAAGAAAAATAGTTGAAAGAAATACTAATTTAAAAAATTTTAATGAACGACGAACGTCACGTTGCCGTATACCCCCCGTCCCCCCTTGTCACATCTTGTCACACTTAGCAAGACCCCTCCCCCGAACGAAATTGTATGCGAACGTTTTTTATGAACGGCCCCCAACATAATGATGAATATCCACTTTTTATAGACTCTATAAACATTAGTAAATAACGTGAGATCGTTTTCTAAAACTTGTCAAATACCCTATTTGGTGCACCTAAGCCTGTCTTATTACAAAACGTAACCTAATTAAAACCGATGTAAACATGTCACCTTTGATTGCTAAAAAGAGGTTTAAACTAATACTTAGACTAACTTTAGTCCACGTTTTGGAATAAGGCCGATACCCCCTTACTAATAAGCGAGGAATAAGCTTAGACTAGTAACGCCGTGTTTTGTTCATATCTCTCAAATGCCATTTATCAATCAATGAACAGAGCTAAAACATGGAGAAACTTATCCGTGCTTAGTGCTTGTTTATTATTTAGGGCGGTCAGAGCTTAAGGCTCCTAGTACACTACTTCTTACTATCGCATTCGCACCGCAAGTGTCTTGTCAAGCGTCGTCTTCAGGTCATTAATACACGTGTCTATATTTTTATGAGACAAAACTGGAAAAAGATAATTCTGACATTTGCGATGAAAGTAGCAGAGGAGGGTAGGAAGTAGCTCGTCTTCTCTATTATTAGCTCTATTTAACTTTACATGCCCTTTGTCTAATGATTCAGTACCAGAGATACTTTAATTGATAGACATTCACAACAGATCTTTTATGGCCTACGCCGCGTTAAGCGGGAATATGGAGCGGATGTCCGCTACGCGTGCAGTTTCATGTTATTTCAAAGAGCAGTGCTGCTTGAGGCGGGTCTCCCATCGCAGCGCTGTTCTATGATATGACTAGTTTAAAATGATTAGGAACTACATAGAGTTTTTATATAATGATGCCCACAATCTCATTAGACGGCGCAGCTTCCCCGCCCGCCCGGAACCCGACAACGGTCGCGCGGTGCGTTTCTTCGTCCGCTCGTTGGGATGGGTGGAGATCTCCGAGTCAGACCTGACGCCGGAGCGGTCCAGCCGCGCCGTCAACAAGTGTATCGTGGACCTGAGCCTGGGCCGTAACGATCTGCTCGACCAGGTCGGCCGCTGGGGAGATGTGAGTATAGTATTATTGACTATTAAGTACCTATCTGTGGTCCATCCGAGTTAATTGTTCTATCCAGCGAAAGTCTGGACTGTCTGGTCGATAAGTCAACGGAAGTGAAATAGTAATTACTTACTAGATGTTCCAGATTTGAGCCTATCGTTGAAGTCAAAAGTATATGCTACTTTCACTTGATCAATTCATGAACGTATATTTATATTATTGCCATTGAATGAGAATTGAATGCTTTTCTTTCGCAACCAGTGGGAAATACTTAATTCTCAGCTACAGAGCCAAAAGCGTGCAAGAAACTTATAGTTATTAACTTTGTTTTTACCCGGAAAAACCTTTTGGTAAGGTTACGAGGATATTTGGACGAAGGCGTCCCGCCAGCCAATTCATCAAAAGCTCAGTAAAACTCTGGAATGTTTTATTTTATTTCTTCGGAAAACTTTCAGCTATTATTTATACATGGTATCTATTTTGGTTAACTACTAGCTAATAACAAATTTTACAATCACAAGGATATGACTTATCATTTTCTGAAAGTATAGAAACAAGGTAAGGTAAGGAATGTACCGTCCCCTAGCAGGTAATGACGACGTAAAATCCTTATTGGGAATCAACTTCGAACTAATATAGGTCCTTCTTTTCTTGACTTTGATCTATAATATGTATCCCAAACGATTGCGACCAATGTGAGTGAATGAACTTCCTTCATATGTTTTTGCAGGGCAAGGACCTGTTCATGGACTTAGATGACGGCGCCCTGAAACTGATTGACCCCGAGAGCCTGACAACCCTCCACACTCAACCCATACACACGATCCGCGTGTGGGGTGTAGGCAGAGACAACGGACGGTATGGAAATATTTAACATTCTGTGTTATTTTATACTCTTTGAAATTTATACCAGCTGGATTTTTAATGACATTATTAACATTATATTGGTTACCTAATATAATATTGGATATTGTTTAATTACATAAACAATTCAAGTATTTTCCATTTAACCCTGTTTGCACCTGTAGCAAAGAACTTCATCGAATAAAACTTGTTCTTGTTTAACACTATTGAAATTAGTTTTTTGTTTTTACAAGTGACTGAGATTAATCGTTATTATTAACTAGTAAAGAGTCCAGTCGGTATTTTCAAATTCTTACAATTCGACAAGACGCATGTAGCGTCAGCGAACAATGTAACTAAAAGACGAATTTTCTTTCCCCCTCTTGCGATCTTGGAACAGCGAAAGGTATGGAGCCTGTAGTGGCAGTTGGTTTGCAGTTTCATTTCGAGTTGATTAACACAAAATGCCTCATGCATCACGCGTATCGAATAAATAATTTATTCTAACAGAACCGGAGTGTGCAAGTTGTTAAAATAATTTAGTAGGGGAGCCAAAGGGAGGATTTTTTTACTTGAGCGCGGCAGAATAACATAAGTCGGGCAATGTCGCACCTTGTAAAGTTCTCTTACCATACTTGAATCTTTCATATGGGGTCGAACGTGCCTCTTGGTTGCGTCCAAATCGTAAGTCCTTTGTATGAAGCTACTGGACCCTCTACAAAATCAGAACCAAAATTGGACCAACATCCCCGCTTGGGCCCCCCTACTACTATGTAAAAAATTAGGCTAACAAGGCTCTTGATGATATACAAGCAGTCCTCGACTTACGTCGTTTCAAGTTACGTCGAACAATGTTTTGACACTATAGCCTCAAGCATACGTCCATTGTTTCGATTTCCGGCATAGGAGAATTCACTTGTCGCGAGTTCAAAGTCCATGTGGCCGGCGTCCGTGGATATGTCTCGACTTACGTCGTTTCGATTTACGTCACGTATTTCGAGAACCTAACATGCCGTAAGTACGAGGACTGCCTGTATTTATGGTTATTCCTCCCAACAACTTACACACTTTTACTATCTAACATTATGTATGGAATCATTCGAAGAAACATTCACTTTAGCTTTTGCTTTAGAGAATTAATTAAGTTGTCTTTTAGCACTTAACTGAAATAGTTTTACCTATTTCTACATGAAAACCGAACTTTACCGTTATGATCACCAACGACCGACTGGTTGATTGTTACGGGTCACACGAATGCAACGCCGTTTGTAATGAGCATTGCGTTTTCTTCTTCATTTTCGAACATGAGACCAAAAAATTAAGATTTTAGTAAGTAGAGACTTGATTGCAGTTTACGGAACTAACATTTTATAGTACGTTCCAAACGTTTTGAGAGCGAATGTGAAGAAAAAGTTTATCAGTGTACCTGTCAGTCAACTACCGTATATTTTCATTATTTCTGAAAATTCAGATTATTTCCTTGATCAATTTACTTTCATAGAGCTTAACGAATTCCTATCACTGAGCTGTCTGTGATCAGGCTTACCTACCTGTTCTAATTTTCCTTGAATAAATGATCAATATGATATCATAATTCAAATTTGATTTAATTTAGATAAATCTAGAGAACAAACAATTGCTTTCAGGCAACCATAGGACTGGACATTTACACTTTTTTTCTTTCCTCTCAAAAAGTCTGAAACGGATAGTCCGTATTTAGGCCAGATACACAAAAATACAGGGTTTTTTTTCACAGGGACTTCGCGTACGTGGCTCGAGACCGCGCGACTCGCAAGCACATGTGCCACGTGTTCCGATGCGAGGCGCCCGCGCGAAGTATCGCCAACGCCTTGCGGGACATCTGCAAGAGGATCATGATAGAGAGATCTTTGCAGCCTCCACCGCGTCCTACGGATTTACCGGCTGCGCGCAGACCGAGGGCTTTAGCTGGTGAGTTTCTGATCACATCACCACTGCTGGGGGACAAGCCTTCCTTAGGATGGAATAGGGAGATTGGGCCATGACCCACCACGCGAGCCCAGTGCGGATTGGTGGGTGCGACCCGCGGTGCTCTGGTACATTCGATCTCTAAGCACTTACGCGGTTACGTTTCGAGAGCGTTTGTGACAATAGCATAGATAGCAGTCGTCGCGCGTCGTATAAGTGTATTTACCTTAATAATGGGAAAATAGAGATGAATTTGCTACAGGCGAAACGCGCCGCGTCGCGTCGCTTCGACTCTTCGCCAGTGTGAGTTGAGCCTTAGTTAGTATCTAAGACGTCATTCAGACAAGGAAAATTGGTCACCAAAAGAAGATATCCTCAGAGTGCATTAATTACTTAGTTAATAGTAATATTCAGTGATTGTCTGATTTGAAAGTCCCTTAAATTCTTTCTTTAGGTATTTCAGTTAGGATTAACGACGTAAAGCCTCGATGACACAAGCTACAAGCCAGAGAGTTCGCTAGAAGATTGTAAACTTGCCCCGTGTCATCGGCTTTTTTACCAAATGCTACTCGATGATACGGGGCGAGTTGACAAGCTACTAGCGAACTATCTGGCTTGTAGCTTGTGTCATCGAGGCTTTATGCTCTTAAGCTGCTGCTTTCGTACAATATCCATTGATTCTGAACTTAAGAATAGGGGTGATGACGGGGTACAGTAAACAAAATTCTATTTTAAAAAATACGCGTCCAATACTTTTTGATAATCTACCTTTTCTTTCCTTATACGCAGGCAAAAAATACTATTTACAGACGACGGCGCCTTTAAGAGGCACCGCCGAACGGACCTCACACCTGGCTCTCGCAAGCCTTACGAGCCCCAGCAGTGGCTGCCCACTGAGGACCCCGTAACCCTTACGGGCGCTTAACGGCATAATATCCGCTAAAAACCCTGCGAACACCCTCTAAGCTGCTAAGCGCGAAGCCGCGGGATCCCCGTTTAGGGATTCTTCCGCGTCTCCGTACCTAGCAGCCTCCCGGCCTTGATGAACGAAGAAAAAAAATAGTCTATCTATCTAGTCTATAATATCATCCCTATTTATAAAATTTGCAGGTGCCTCATTCCCCACGCCCATGGAAGAGCCTCGCAAGACAGTCCGCGCTCGCTATCTAGGCAGCGCCGAGGTTCCCCGCGCGACCGGTATGGACGTCCTCAACGACGCAATAGAGCGGCTCGCCTGCGCCCGCGCACCTTCAGCCTGGCGCCCCGTTGCCGTCGCAGTGGCGCCTTCTATGATCACCGTCACCGAGGACGGGGTGAGACATATACTGTTTTTAGGGTTCCGTACCTCAAATAGAAAAAACGGAACCCTTTGTGGAGATCTTCTACAGTAAAACTCGTATTAAATGTTTAATCACATTTTTATTATTCAGAGCACAATTACATTTTTACGTTTTTCTCTTAGTACAGATTAAGAATATATTTTCCAGTCATAGAGTAAAGCACAGGACACACTATCATGGTATTAAAGGTGGTAATACACATGTAACACCCTTATAGGATCAATTTGTTGCCCGTCCGTCCGTCCGCATGTCAAGACCGTTTTCCTCAGGAACGCGTGGAGGTATCAAACTGAAATTCATATTTAATACCCATGTCCACTGTCCCTTGGAGCTGTGGAAAAATCAAACTCCTAAGCCAAAGCAATCAAAAGATACAGCCGTTTATGCCGCATTTTTTCGAAACTCACAGCAATCCACAGTTCACAGGAAGTACCCTGTAGGTTTACAGGGTACTTCCTGTGAACTTAGAATCTTGAAATTTCTTATAGTACAGATAAAAGAAAATTTTCGAAAACCGTTACAACCGTTTAGTTACATCATATAATAAAAAATATTTTTTAAACATTTTAAAGTTACTACCTCTTTAGTCTTTTCTCATGAACGCGTAGAGGTATTAAATTGAGTTTGTACGGAACCCTCGGTGCGCGAGTCCGACTCGCACTTGGCCGGTTTTTGATGTGTAACATCTTTTCTCTCGCTTTCGTACAATCTGTGGGAGTGATTACGTGAAATGGGACGGAGGTGTGTAACAGGAAGTTAGGGAAGCGCGCGCTATTTGTTTTGATTTTAGAAAATAATGTTTAAATGGCTTATTCCTTTTGTAGTAGGTTTTATTTCTTTTTTTACTAATATCGATCGAGATCCGCATGGAGACTCTTGGTAAACCGGGATCCCCTGCAGATGCCTTGAGAAGACTGGGAATACTGATTTGCTTCTGGAAGGGTGGGCTGGCTGGAATAACCGGTCGCCATGGCTCACACACAATGGTCCAATTAAAGGACATCCCTATCATAGAATATAGATACGTTCTCAACGACGCCATTGAGCGGCTGGCTTCCGCATGGCGCCTTCTATGATCACAGCCATAAATGATGATGACAGTGATCATCATGAGGAGAGGTGAAAACAATAGGAGCTAAGTAGGTACTTACGCATGAAATCGATAGTGAAAAAACGAAATCACTTTGGTGCTGCTGAAAAACTCTTTATAAATATAGAAAGGCATATTTTAATAGGTTGACGAATGCTTTCTTTAAGGAACTAAGTCGAGAAGAGTGATGGAGTGCACTCAGTCCAACGATGACACCTGCAAGTAGCCAAAGGCAAATCTATGATTTAAATCTCTGGTCATAATAACTATTGAATCAATCACTTTGGTGCTGCTGAAAAACTCTTTATAAATATAGAAAGACATATTTTAATAGGTTGACGAATGCTTTCTTTAAGGAACTAAGTCGAGAAGAGTGATGGAGTGCACTCAGTCCAACGATGACACCTGCAATCTATGATTTAAATCTCTGGTCATAATAACTATTGAATCTAATGACGGCCACCTCCGTGGCCGACATGTACGCCGGGTTTCATGGTGTTGCCGATTCGAGAGGTCCCGGGTTCAAATCCCGGTGGGGGCAGATGTTTGTGCGATGAATACGAGCATATGTACTCCAGTCATGGATGTTTAATATGTATTTTTCTATATAAATATACTTATACATCGTGTTCCTGAGGTTATACACTAACTTTGGCATGTTATTCAGACTATTAAATTGATCATTTTTTACTATGGTCACTTTTATGAATTCCAATTTCTTTAAAAAATAATATTTTCATGCAAACTTAATGCTTAGATGTAATTTATCTTATATGAATTACTCTTTACCTGAGCTGGCAACGTCGCATTTGAAACTTTGGTTCACATGTGCACATGCACAAAAGTTTTTCAAGTTCAAAACTTTTCGAAACTTTTCTTGACGTCAACAATGTTTTTTTTAATTTTGACTTTTGAAACTATGACTTAATGACCATGAGTGACAAAGAGTTCATAGTTTGATAGTTTTGGTTGCACAAAGTGGCAACATCTCACAGATAAAGACTCTTTCTCACTGCACAATACAATGAAGTTGGTTAAACTTAAATTACCAATAACTTAAAAACTATGCTATTTAAACTACTACTTTCTTTGTACGATATGTTTAACAATAGCTATAGAAGTATTATTCAAAGTTAATGTATATCCTCAGGAATACGGTGTATATGTACAGTATATGTATTCTATCCGTTACCCTAGCATACCATAACACAAGCCTTACAGTGCTTGCTTTGGGGCTAGGCTAATTGGTGTGTTGCAAATATTTATTTATTTATTTAATGTTGATGATGCAGGAATCTTCGCCATTGGTGGAATGCCGCGTGCGTTACCTCTCCTTCCTCGGCATTGGTCGGGACGTCCGCCGCTGCGCGTTTATCGTTCACACGGCGCAAGATTTGTTCGTTGCGCACGCCTTCCACGCGGAGCCTTCTTCCGGCGCGCTGTGCAAGACCATCGAGGCGGCCTGCAAGGTTCGTTACTTCCATCTCTTATTTTTTTTTATTTGGCTCACAGAACTGGTTACAAAGAATATCCATGTAAATATATGCATACAAAAAAAATCATCAACTACTTTGCAACCTACTAGATGCAAGCACAGCATGCATTTCTAAAACTACCTAACTACTAAGGATGTATACTAAAGGATAAATATAACACATATAGGTTAAACTCTATAACTAAAAAATTAAAGTGAAAGTTAAAACTAAAAACTAATAAAACTTTTCTCCCAAGGTTCAGAAGTATCTAAGTGAATGTTAATATACTAAAATAGATATACATCGGTTAGACTTGCACCCTGGCTGGATTTAACTACTTTAGCACAGTGGTTTGATTGATAGGTCATGTCATTATTTTCAGTTACTAATTTATATTCTGTTCATTTCTTGGTACCTACTGTATTAATAGAAAATCTTAAGCGCAAAAATATGTATTTTGTTTTAATTAGTGGATAATGAAGTTGGTCGTACAATAATTTAAGGTGTCACCTGTATTACAATACTATTTGTTTAATGAGAATTGTACCACTGTTTTTTGTCCTGAATAAAATAAAATAAAACTTAATCAGAGAAAATTGAATTTAAACATTTTCTGGTTGAGGTTTTAGAACCTTTAAATATGTCGAAATTATTTCGAATAGCATTATAGGTTGACAACATTCTATAAAGAGGGGAGTGATTCCCGAGTCTTGTCTTACAGGGGGCAGTATAAAAGTCTTTCGATTTTGCTTTGCTAGCTCTTCACTCTCGTCGTAGTTAGGCGAGGCGAGGTTGCGCGAATTTACGCGAGGCGATGCAACATGAGATGACACAAGAAGGTATCCATCTTCACTCTCGCCTCTGTTCAATTCTCTCTATGTCGCCAGCATAACGAACGTGCTCGAAGTGGCAAGTGCCGCGACTTTATGCGTTTTTGCGTATATTATTTTTGATAACATATAGTAAGTACACTTATAAAATTAAAAAGCCTTGGCGAAGACGGCGATGGTGGATAACATCTATACACCGTAACAGAACAAAATATGAGTTACAATTTTTATTTTTCTGCTGAAAATAAGGTTACTATGTGAGTTTTTTATTCGTTTTTTTCTAAAAAGAAACTCGGTTAAAAATGTTACTTAATCTCACTAAAAATTCTGATGTCATACCGATTCAATAAATGCGAGAATGTGGACGCCGCGCCTCGCCTCGTCTCTCCTCGTACCTCGCGCCCATAAACCGACTCCAGTCGGAGGACAGACGAAACGAGCCGAGGCGCGGCGATGTGACGCGAGGGCCCCACGGTTCCCAACTTAGGGGTTTTGTCCCCAGATTTAGGCTAGAAGGGTTAAAACGGACTTTTTTAGGGGCTGGAACTTTTTGGGGGTTATTTTAGGGGCAATTAAATCGAAAAACAAAGCGTGTGTGTTTGAGCGTAGAATGGACCACGATATGAAACGACTTAACTCATAGGCCTCCTGTCGTGTGCGAAACTTTTGTTTCATTTTCAAAACACACACTCTTGGCAACCTTGGAGTTTGCCCGATCTGCCCAAAGCACTTCATTGACAGTCGCGCGTGGTCCGTTTTTATAACAAAAAAAGTGACAGCCATAATTTTAAAATCGAAAGATAATTTACCTGCGTCTATGAATGCGGCCATAGGAGCACACCTTGTATTGTCATTGCTACTACTTTTTATTTTGTGAATGCTCCATCTAAAACCTTTGTGACGAATCCGCAGTTGCGCTACCAAAAGTGCTTGGACGCTCACGGGGGCGCGGCGTCGCTCGCTCACGGCAGCGTAGGCAGCGGCGGGAGCGGCGGGAGCGCGGCGAGCGACAACGGGCGCGCGTCGCTCGGGCAGGCGCTCAAATCGCTCGTGGGCTCGCTCACCGGCCGCCGCGCCTCCTGAGCCGGTGGGGACCTCTCTACGCCCGGGGGGTGAGTCAATACATTATCTACTTTAAGCAGTCTTTTTTTATAGGGAGGTAAGCAACGCAGTTATAAACTGCTACACCAACCATCCTCACCTTGCCGGTCTGCAAAAATGCTTCTTCACGCCTCTCTTAAAGGACCCCAGATTATAGTGGAACACGTGCGCGTCTAAAGAATTCTACTCACGTATAGTACGACAAAGAAATGAGTCACCAAATTTCTTTGTTCGTGTAGGAAGTCTATATATTTTCCTAGTCTTCTAACGGACACCATCTAGACAGAGCAGCCGTGTAGGGCCACCAGTTTATTTATTTCTTAGGTTTTCGCGCACATCACTCATTAAATAAAACAAGTTTTTAACGGGTTATATGCACTGAATTTATTTATTTGTTGACATTTCGCATCCTTTGCAGGAATGCGTCTTCAGCATAAGTAGCACTTTTGGTAGCGCAACTGAGTTACATTCAGTTTATATGTTACGCTCAGTGAGCGGAAAAATAGCTCACAACGCGTTGTGGTCACAATAAAACTGCGATCAGTGCTTGTTTCCACAAACTCACGTAATTTATCGTATTAACCATATTATGGTTAAAACAATGAATGCTCAGAACGCGTCATGGCTTTTCTTCATTGCCAAAACGCGTTGAGCTCGAGTAGCATGTCAGCCACGACACGAATTTCGCTATTTGGTCTTTCTGTGATTGCCACAACGCGCCGTGCGCGTTTTCATTAGAGCCATAACACGAATTTCGCCATGTGGATGTTTTACTGTGACCACAACGCGTTGTGAGCTATTTTTCGCTCACTGAGCGTTTTCGATCTTTGAGCGTAACATATAGAACCCGTAAAAAAACTTGTATTGTACTTGTACCAGTTTAATAAGGAATCATCATTCAACTATATGACTCCACCAAAGGTTTCCACGTCGATCGGTCCTGAATGTCCCCATCCAGCATCCGCATCCAACATTTTACTTTACCACACACTTTTTGTTTAAGCATCAGGCTAGTACGTATGCTAATAAAGGAAGATGTGTCTGCTCTTAGCTACATTCCTTTTAGTATAGTAATTCACTTTAATCGCGAATTATCTAAGTCCTGCCGGACGCATCGCACCTCCTGAGTCGGCGGGGACCTCTTTACGCTCGGCGGGGGATTCAAAATGACACTATACCAGACCCATATACAGGATGTCCCACGGCCATGCCACGTGAGGATGGAAAGTATATTAAAGCTAGGTTATTTTACTGAAAGAAGACAACATTTTATTTTTAATAATAAGTAGAACTGCATTCAAAGATATTTTTTTAAATCGCCTGCCACATTTAAATTCTTGAAATTTTATGCGATAACTTTTCTATTCCGTTTTTTATTGGCAATAATTCTTTACCAGGGTAGACACCACCGGGACTGCTTGCCAGCCCTTTGCTTACGACCACGACACAACTCTAGCAGCGACCGACTGCAGGGACTTAGCCCTAGAGCCCCAACATCGGGGCGATCGGGACTCCCCTGATACGAAGACTAAACCTGATCTAATCACTGGAGATGTCCCATAAATATCACCATTTAATTGAAATGTACGTAAGAAGGAAACTGAATGGATCTACGACAAACTGAGAAAAGCAGATTCCCAGGATTGGATTTCAAGTACTAGCAGTTGTCATTCAACTGCTCGCAACTTTAAAATGTAAAAAACAAAATAGCTGACTGACTTTGTTAAGCCAATGACATTTAAAATGCTGATGGTATTTCTTATAAATACTTATATACAATAATTGATTGACTATGTAAAAAGGCAAAGGACTATCACATCCATGATAATAGAAGAGCTCAGTTGCTAAGACAATAAAGGACAGATATTTATTATATCTGTTGAAATACCGAATACCTACTGACTTTGGTAAAACTCAATCCTGAAAACGTTGACAAAAAGTGAAATAAAACCCGGTAATATCGCTTTTGTTTTCTAAAAATTGAGGGTAAGTATTATGCTAGCACTTCGCTTGGCTATTCGTATTCGCTATTTGTAACTAAACAGTCTGTCTTTATCATGCTTCATTAGGAATGAGAAGGACAGACTGATGACAAGTTCACAAACAGCAAACACGAACAGCCAAGTTTAGTACCAGCATGATGTTTAAACGGCCATTAGGTTTAAACCAAGTCAGACTAGTCCACGTTTTGTAAAAAAGAGAATGGTCACATAAGGCATGTCTTTGGCTTAGGACAGTCAGTATAAATTTTGATCTCGTCTTATTACTAACTTATTATAAAAAAATATTGATCACATGAGATCCCATGGGAGTTGCAGACAATAATGTTGCAAAACGTATTTGTGACTCCGTTTGATATAAACTTTTGACTTGATGTTGTTTGAAGCGAGTTTGATGTTCGGATAAGAACGTTAAGTATGAATAATATTTGTAACTGTAAGGTGTAAAATGTAGGTAATTCCAAAGTTTAGTTGCTAATCACTAAATATCGAATATCATATAGAAGTCTCATCTCAACCATATTTTATTATAAAACTATTGGTATATATTCATTAATATACAAGTATGACTGCATTTAACATATCCATTAGTTTTTCATGAATAAAGTTCATTGTCTAGTAGGTATTGGCTACTACAACTAAACACATACCCCCTTATTAATAAACAAGCAATAAGCTCAGACTAGTTACGCCGTGTTTAATTCATGTCACTCAAATGCCATTTGTCATTCAACGAACAGACAAAACATGGATCAGCTAATCCAAGATTACCCTGAGTTTAATAATAAATATTTGCATTGGAGTATTTGCAATTCAGATGTAAATCTCTTCAGTATTTTTTCATCTTAAACATACTATTATTATTTAAACTAGTCTATTTAAATTAATAATAGTAATCAATTGGTTTGCTGCAAGGATAAGACTCAATAAGTAATTTTACTACTACGCACAGAAAATTGCTTTTTTGAATGACGTCATCCGATTAAAAAAAAAATCTCAATTTCTTTGAAATAGCATCTTCAAGTTAGTCACGAAATCTATCTGGGCATGCTGATTTTAATAATATTATCGAATGCCTTTCTAAAGCTGTGTAAATTTGTATAGACACAGCCACTCTTTATCTACTACAGAAGTGACAAAATTGACCCTTTTATTTTGAATCTTAGTGGTTTGCTTCAAAGTTTAAAATGGATTGCAGAATCATGAAATTTTGTGTTTCGCGCTGCATGTCCGTGTTTTATGAGCGCCATCTATCGAAATAAATAACTATGATACTTGAGCAGTTCTTTGAAGTTACCTCTAGTTACTTAAAGAAGAAATACACCGTTAGACAATGGGCCTTATTCTGTACTAATTGTAAGTTATAGTCATTGAATAGCAAACATTATTTTGAATTAAATTCACATAACATACGACAGCAAATTCAGCTTTTAACTTAATCACTTAACAATAAAGTGCACATCACATCTGGTTAATACAAATATCAAATTCCTGCTAACTTTATTTGATATAAAAGCAGGAATTTCAAAGTTTTGTCTAACCCGATATGTTGATGACTGTATAATCCATCAAGTATAAAAATAATCATATATAGCTGATATTTATTAGGTAATTTTTTACTGGACTTTTTGTTGTGACAGTTAAAATATTATATAATATACAGTTGGTGGTTAGAAATGTATATGAAAAATACAGGGGTGGTTAGCTTTTTTATTATTATAGTAAGAGTCAGATATCGAATTAAACCATAGAACAGCTGAAAGGTCTAACTTCCATATATGGAGATTGTTTTATATTACAACAATTTAACACGAGTCTCTCGCTAGATGTCGCTTATATGTCTAATTTAAGTGTCCAGTGATGATATGAGGGTGCACTTCAGTATAGTGACATATCATCAAAATGATGCCTTAATTTTCTTTTCTTATCTTATTGAACGTAATCGACATTGCACGGTACAGTCAACCTCAGATCTACGAACATTTCTTTCCATTGTGCGACATCTATAAATGCAAACAGTTGCCTATTAGAACGCATGGCATGCTTAATCTTTACTAAATAATTGAAATTAATCAATTTCTGATTGCTGTTCTTTTTTATAAAGTAATATTTAAAAAAAACTGTATCATTCATTATCTTAATAACAAAATTAACGACACCTTTAATTATTATTGTTTAGCGAAGTTACCCAATAAAATCCTAGTCCATAGAAGTAGGTAGGTATGTTGCTTTTGTAAATTTGACGCTATGACTTTAAGGATAAGGTGTTTTTTTTCCGTAACAGAAGTATTTGGTCTCGGTAAGTACAATATAAAATTGATGTTTGAAATCGGTGTAAATTAGACTAAATTGTGTAGGTAGTGATAATGATTAAGAGGAAATATTACGGAGGAAGTTTTTTGTAAATAATTATTTATAAAAAAAAAATGTAAACTTACGGTATTAATAATGTAAGATAAATCAAAGGACAGATAAATGCTGTGTTTAAAAAGTAGCGACATGTAGTGCGAATTCGACTTGCTGTCACATGTTTTGCGGTGGAGAGTACGCTTCGCATTTCTGACCACAGATGGCGTTATTAATGCATAACTCATAAATGTTTAAGAGCACTTTGATTCTAAAGATCTTAAAATTTTATATATAAACACAATTTGTTTATAATCCATCACTATTGATTAATGTATGCGTTACATTTTTCCATAATTTGGAGATTTGATGTCTCGCCTGCTGAATAATTGGAAAAGCATCCGTCCTTTTCACTGCCGCTCTGATATCATATGCGACAGCATGTCAGTATAGTGACTATAATGTCATAGTCCGGAGTACAGCCAGATTAATGATCAGTAGGTAGATTATATGTCACAGTCATACCAAGATATAAAACGAATTTGCCAGATAAGTAGGTACCCATAAAATCTTCAGATACTTTTCGGGTATTGATTCTTATATCAAAGGGCTAGTTGTAAATTCTCAAGTTACAAATTAAATTACTGGCATGCGTGATTTGAATTAAAACAACTTCCAAAGAATTAAGTGAAATGTTTATGAAATTTGGCAAGTTCGTTTTGTAATCTAAATATTTTGTAACTGCTTAGGTATTTTACTTTGGACGTATTTGCTATAATGGCTGGAGCGAATAGGTTTTGAGCACGGTATGAACCTAGTGGTAAGATTATTCGTAATTCAACTATATCACGTCAAGAACGAGTGAAGCATAAAGTAATATTATTGTATTAGAACCTTATTGAGTAAAGATAAAGAGTTTATTTTTGCTTATGCTTGTAATTTATATATAAATGAAGAGTTCGATTGCGAAAAATAATATTTTTTGTATGACACACCACATTATTTATAGTTGTAATTTGTAAGCTTTGGAAGACAAATTTGTAAAATCACTTTGGTTATATTGCAATGTCGATCCCAGCATATTTTTAGATTCTTTAAATAGAAGCTATGTCGGACTAAGACTAAAGTTTCTTTGACATCGCAATATCAAACCTATATCTACGGATTAAATCATAAATTCGTCTTTATTTCTCCATAACCACATCATAACAAGGGTGTTAGAAACACGTTGAGCTTTCTATAAATATATATATTTATGTATTTAAATAATCCAATTAATCTTTTTAGAATAAAAGTTGTAATAGTGCTAAGCTTCGGTAACACGGCCGCCATTTTGTGAAGACGAGTAGAAAATGGCCGCCGTGCCGCGCTCTGGTATGGAACGTTTTGTATAAATCATATTTAAATGGTGTAAAGTAAGAGAGTATTGGGAACCACGTGAAAAGTAATCATTGTCAAGAAAGGTAGATCAGTAAGGTGTTTTTTGTATATGAAACACTTCAAAACTAAATATAGGTAACTAATTGTATTTTGTTGATGGGTAATGTGACCATTGTTGGTTAATTAATAAGATTCACTGTTGTTTAGTGCTGAAGTTTAAACTTAGAGCAATAAGTTACTGTGCTTATTTCAAATTTGTATTTTAGAAACACTGACAATGGTCACATATTTCCTAAATAGAATAAGGGAGTTTTAGAAGTCACAAATAGCTTAATGTTATATTTCAAAATACTAGAATCAGTGTCGCTTCACGTTTTATATAAATATGTCAGTATAAACAATAATACACTGAGCTGTTCTATGAATCTATGATACGTAAACATAGTGTTATTCACGCGTTTTAATGTAAGTATAAAAAAATAAAGTCATTATTTATACAAAATAAAATATATAATATGAATGGAATATTTAAAGCGGCGTGCACACACGACCGTAGGCCGTGGCGTCCTTAGTCGCAGAGCCGAGATGCAAGCTTCTACTGCCTTTATTCGGATGAACTATATATCAATATTTTCTATAAAAGTATCGTTATAAATGTAGTTATTAGACAGCTTCCGAATCCCAGGTTTATAGCTCACTGTTGGAACGCAAAATTATGGGAGGCAAACGTTACGATACAAATATACGGTCATCGCTTTGACAGCTTAAAAGCCTTCAACTGTGGCTTTTAATGAATACTTTTGTGAAATTAATAAAAAAAATATTCATAAAGACTTTCTGGAGTTTCATTTATTGATCTCAATATTTAAGAAGCGAAATATTATCTCAGAACAGTTATCATTATGTTAATGACAAATGAAAAGCAAGGCCTTATGCAGTGCCGTCAAATATGACTTCGGGTGCCCGAATTAGAGTATGTTTTTCGTGCACCCGAGTACGGGATAACGAACAAGTGTAATTGAGGCATTACGCTCCACAATAAAATGTGCATATTTTTATGTAGTAGTAGTAGTAATAGTTATTTATGATATTAGTGCGGTAAGTTGGTTATTAGAAACGAGTAGACGAATGTTTTCCATAGTCACGAGTTAGTAAATACCAATACCGCACGAATATCATAACAACGTTTTTCAACACGTTTGCGAGAAAACAGTATTTTTTTAAATAATGAAGCATTTTTTTCTAAGACGAATATGGCGCGTATTTCCACGTGGCGCCACGTACAAGTGGTGAAAATGAGAACTGCATGTTTCGGTTCTTTTTTCTTTTTTTTAGTATTAAAGATAGCCAAATGTATAGACCAAAAGTGGTTCAATCCAAATTAAAAAAAAAACATATAGGATACGCAAGGTGCCACATACCGGTGTGCGATTTTTTTTACCGCGCACTGTACCCCTAGCATGAACCAAAATCGAATTCGTAACGTTTGCGAGTCCGAAATCTCATTGTCAAATGTGTACTGATGTTTAGTTCCCGATACGTCCAAAGTGGCGCTGCTGTTCAAGTTTCCATACAAAATTTGATATTGACATTTCGGTTTGCAAACTAATCGAATTCGATAATGGTTCGTGCAGGGGGTACTGTTGTATGGTGCGTAATTTTGAACTTTTGAATACTTTTTTTAGCAAATGTGTTGATAAAAAAAATTTTTTTAGCTATCTTACAAAGTGTGTGTGGATTCACACGCCTCATTGTGAAGAAACCCAAACAGTGCCTCAGATGGAAAATTAAAATCACTAGTTTCTTCTATTCATTATAAATATTTATTCATAATTATTACATTGGGAATAATTTGGAATTTCGTATTAAAACATCTCCGGTGTGTCCTCGTGCCGAACGCAACAGTCCGTATTAAAAATCAAAATAGTCTCCGTATCGACATAATTATATATGTACTACTATAGTCATCTTTCACAGGGCTCTTTAAAAATAAATATACTTACTGCTCCACGATTAAATTGAATATATTAATTACGTTTTGCAACAAATCATTCGCGAGACAAGACAACATCACATGCTATTTCTTGTTTTTGTATTACATCAAAAGATTATTCATTCTATAAATACAAAAATAACGTTTCGATATACAATCAACTTTGAAACATAAATAATGAAATTTATTATGAAGTAATAGGGTTGAGTTTTTCATCATAATATACATATTTTTTTACTATTATTTGAATTTGTTACGTAAAATAGGTATTCATTTTCATGATTCACGATGATAATACAATCTCAATTATTCGCAGTATTTAAGATCGACATTGCTGTCTGAAAAGCCTTCACACAAAACCATAATTATGGATCATAGGCTTTTAATTTACTCGACTGTGTTAATTTTAAATTTAAAAGCGTTTTATTAACGCCATCTATCGGAAAACGCAGCATACTACGTCAAACTTTCTTTATTCAAGTAGGATGCATAGTACAACTCTTTTGAATCGTCACATTTTTTTCTCTTAGCACCCCACTGAGGATTTATTTTTTTAAAGCTACATTTTTTTAGATTAAGGTAAATCAATAGTCAATTTGAAAAAGAAAATGTTTAAAAGATGGAATTTGAAACCCTCGTTATGTACAAAGTACAATAGTATTGGATGTCAGTCGATTTGTTTGAGTGCAATTATTACCTAACACATGGAAGTGGTTTGCTTAAATATTTTATATTTATAATATCATTTCATAAACCGAATTTATTTGTAAAATTGTAGACTTCACCAATTTCAAGCCTTAAAAGTACTTAAGAGGGGAGGCGGGCAATGATTTCTCCATACAAACGTTCTCGACTGATTGCTCCTTGATTTTTATCACTAAAGAATTGATTTTCATACATAAAATATAATTTTACGCATTCTATGCTCCTACATATGTCTTTCCTTTTTCGATAACTTGTGTTTCAAAGAAACTAGAAGCCCTCAAAAAGGCCAAAAATAAACAATTTTCATCACCACCAATGACGGCTAGTGTGGTGATCTAATAAGCATTTATAAAAAAAGCAAAACATTGAGGCATAGAATAACTAAACTAATTTTCTAGGAGGGAATTGTCGAGAGCCAAACCTCGAATTTTGCAACTTTTTTACGCAATTTTCAGCGTTGACTACTGTTAGCAATAGTTTTTTTCAAATACCTATTTCTCAAATGTCTGTCTCAAGCTCGCGTCCGCTCTTAAGGCTGTAAGTAGATTGACTTTTAACTGGCACTGACAAAGTACAATGTTAAAATTGGCCTAAGAACCAACACCAATTTGGCATTTATGATAATTCTTAGTATATTTTTTGCGATAATTATCAGTATTCAGATTGTGACGGACACTTCCAGTTAAGTAAGCGAAATAAAAAAATAAAAAAAATAATCTGAGACAATAAATACCATTTTATGTGTATAATCTGTGGCATCGCTGCAAACAAAACACTCTTTCTTCCTAATGCCGGCACTTCACTTGTCTATTCGTATTTGCTATTTTCATGACATCAGTCTGTCTTTTTCATTCCTTATTAAGCATGACAAGGACAAACTGTTGTCAAGTGAAGGGCCGGCATAAAAATCGTTAATCTGTGGTTGTGGTACGTGCAATTTGCATTTGTAGTAATCTGTGGCATTCGTGCATTCCAAAGAGTAGTTTAAAAGTGCATTCTCGTTTCGGATTACCTGTTGTGTGTGTATATTTGCGATTGTTTTTCCTTTAATTTAACTATTTCGGCTATCTAATGTGCCATCGATGTTACCAAAGAGCAGAGCCCTTATTACCAAGTGCTAGTGAACCTGTGCCATAACATCCTGAGAGAATCATACTGCCAAATTATTCAAGAACACCTGATACACATTCACGCTGCATATTTAAACAATAAACATGTGATATAGACATAAAAACAATAAACAATATACAATTATGTGAAAAATAGTCATTAAATAAGAAGCAAAACTACAGTTTTTATTTTATTCATGATTCCTACCTAACCAAGTTTTTCCTTATAGTTATTCTTTAAAATCGCACCGAATAAAATGAATTAGTTGTAATATTAATTCACTTCATACTGAGTTCATACTAAATTCAAAGGTTGAACTATGTTTCATTGAATATTAAACATAACCTAAAAAAATTTTTAGTTTTCCTAATAATTTAAGTTCTCAGAAGTGTCCGTCAATAATCTTTGTTTTTACAGTCATTTACTTCCGATTTTGAACCTAGAAAATAATATTTCATGATTGTTGGTTCTTAGGCTAACTATGTATGGACGCTGAACAATGTCCTTTAGCGCCTTTAGAATACGCCATCTTTTGTTCGAATAATAGCGTTTGCTTCAATTATTTCTGAATGCAGTCGATTTGTCAGTTCAAGGAAAATTCAACCTTAAAATTACTAATACAAAAGAATAATCTCGCTTAGGCCCATTACAGGCCACAGACTTGTGGGACCCAGATTGAGAAGGCAAAGTTACTATCAGAAAAAGTTTGTGAAGCTTTATACAAGCGAAAGCGGCTTTAAAAACTTAATAGTAAAGTAAGAATAAAAGAGATTGTATTTGCAGATTTCCAATCTACGCATAAACTCTGCCGTCTGCAATGAGCCTAATAATAAATCACATAAGTATGACAGCCAATAGTTGAGCTACATCAGAAATCTCAGGTGTAAAACGACTTTACCTAGATTTAATTATAAAAATAAAATAAAAGTTAACATTTAAAAATACATTTACAGATTTGGTTCTTGCGAATACTGGGTTTTAGATACTTATGGATTAAAATATGTTAAAAGATTGTATAAAATTTTCTCTTTCACTGATTGCCAGTAAACAAAATATCTTTTTTATCTCCACTTTCTGAAACATTATCGCAAACAAATACGGACTATGAGTGGAGCAGCGGGCTAGTTGTCAAACGAAAGTATTTATAACTAATTATTTATACAAAATATGCATGTTCTATACAGATCTATAGTTAAATATAAAAGAACATTATCAGTGTACAACAATGTTTTTGATCCAGTGCAGGGCTACTGTCAACGAATTGATTATTTATTAGAAATTTAAAATTTCTATCACAAATACTTTTCAAGGACTAGAGATAAATTATAATTGTAAGTTTCATGCTATTATGCGACACAAGTGTAATACTCTTCTTTACACACAAAATATAACAAATACATAATATACAAAACCAGAGCGACCATAGACTTCGGATACTAAAAGTGTCGGTTCTTTGAAAAAACTTAAATAAAAAAAAAGTACTTTAAACATTGGAAGAAAAAATGGAAGGTATTGGCACAGGCTTATTAAAATCCTTTATAACAACCAAAATATCTTTACAGTTTTAAAATAGATCTATGGTCTACCTAAAACAAAAAAAATGTAAGTTTAACCTCCTTCGTTTTGTCTATGGTCGGACAGCAGTCCTGCACTATGCCAGTGTCGCCAGTTTAGGGCCGTCTTTGCGGGAATAAATCTATCATTCATATAACAACCTCATGATTAATATCTTCATTCTTCATAATAAACAGTGCGGTCAACCTGAAAAAATGGTAAAACGAGATTTTAGATACTTATTTAAGGTCTTTCAGTAGCAACAATTTCGCTAAATCTTAATTTAACTAAAATGATATTGTCAAATTGACATTGATGTTGTCATTTTTATGGGTTTAATCTAGTTTTAGTTGAAAAATTTCTCATTTTCTGCACACAACTTTATTTTTTTCCGTATGAACAATGTACATATTAAAAAACTTAAAAAGAAAAATGGACGTACTTAATCGCTTAAGTCGTCCTCAAGTTATGGCGTATTGGTGTGTGGTCAAAGGAAATACGTATTCACTTTTATAACAAAGTTTATATATGTTACTGGCCAAACCCGATTTTAGGACTAGTTTTTCGTAGGCCAAACCAATTCACCCTCCAGGCGATAGGATAAACCGGGACAGACTAGGCTAAGCTGATTCGACCTCTAGCCAAAAGGAGAAACTAGTTTATCCTAAGCTGCACTAGTTAAGCCTAATAACATTAAACTTCAGGATAAATTGGTTTGGCCTAGTCTAATTCTTCCTAGTCACAAATGTTTAAGCGAAGCGTGTTTAAGTGAGGCGTGTCTTAGCGAGAAGTTTATTCGTATTTAAGTGTAATTTTTTGGGGTGGGCGATAATAATCACGATATTTTAAATAGGCATTAATAAAATAAGTGGGTATGCTCAATATTCAAACTGACGTCTCTCTTCGTCGTCTTTTTTAAGTATAATTGTTAACTTTAATAAATATATTATGATATGAGTAAGTATATTATAATAGGATGAAAGATTGTGAGATAGTTATAGTTATATAATCATGTTTAATATGTGGAGGTTTTTAATTGGCTTTAAGATATTGTTTTTTTTTATTAATTAAGTGATCGATTGCTGTAAACCTTCCTAAAATAAAAAAAATAAATAAACAAATAAATTAAAATGTCTCTCAAGGACTGCAGTAAAAAACCATTCAGTTGGATCAGGACAAGGTCTTATAAGGTGCAGCTGCGTTTGACACTGAAAAGCAGATGCAACTACAAGCAAAAATAGTTCTCAGGAATGGAATTGATTTAATTAATAAATACATCATGATGTTATTATTTCTGGTGTTTTATTGCACCCTATTCATAGACTAGGTCAAACCAGTTAATCCTAAAGTGTACTTACTCATATTAGGCTCAACTAGTTCTAGTAATAAGTTTAAACTTATTACTCATTATTAATAATAAGTAATTACTAGTATTACTCCTATCGGCCATAGGATAAATCAGTTTAGCCTCGTCTGTAGGTACCAGTTTGTCGTATCGCCTAAAGGATGAACTGGTTTGGCCTAGGAAAAACTAGTTTGTCCTAAAATCAAGTTTTGCCGGTAATATATATAATTAAAGACAGAACATTTCCTAGTTTTTTCTTACATATACACTTATTTAAAAACATTTTTTTTTCAGGAGGAGCGTTTAAAACTAACATCCCAAAACATACAATATTTAAAGATTGATACGTGATGAAAAGCTTATACTGCTTAGCTATTCATCTAAAAAAAATTAAAAAAAAACTTTAAATATTGTATGTTTTGGGATGTTAAAGTTTTAAACGCTTCTCCTGAAAAAATGATTTTTTTGCATAAGTGACAGTGTCGGCATAACTTTATGATGGTTTCAGCTCACCTGTGATGGCACTACATCCATCCATTTTGTTCAAAGAAGCTCGTTCTGTGCTGGAACAAACGGGTACTCTATAGAAAACCATCTTAAATCGCATTTTAATATGATTATCACAAAAACAGTAATTCTATTATGATCAAACTATACAATATTATTTTTCTCAAACATGCTTGGAAATGTGAGCATTATTTTGACAACCTTCATCGAGATAAAACGGAATTGCTGTACTGGCCACATACATGCCAGCAGCGTCCAGCAAATTTTTAATAAAAATCCATATCTGTTGTATTTAACAGCCAAATAAATTATTACAGTGTAAACTCATATCTGTCGTGTAATTTAAAAATGGAACATTCTTTTATTCCGAATCATGGCAACTAAAGAGGTAACTTATCAAACGTTTTATGTACATTTTGAAGTGGATCTCAAAATAGAAAGCTGTTAACAGAAAAAAATAATAAACACTTCAACATGAGAAAAATTTATGCTGTTCGTCATTGATTTTCCAGAATTTCGAATGTTCTCAGTGGTTCTGCCTTAATTGTTTTAATTTCCGCGCATTATTTGAGAAGTGTAGGTACTATACAATTCTTGGCCATAACTAAGCATTGATGGACTTACGTATGTATGGGTCCGTCAATGCCGCTTTTGCTGGCCGATGCATAATGTACTATTATTAAAACATAACTTAAATTTTTATTTGATTCAAAGCATGATAAAATGGACAGTTTGCCAATAACGGCTTGTACGATATTGTGAAATAGGTAATAATTATTTCAAATTTGTGTAATTTGTGTGATAAGCAATTTAAAAATCTTTATAAATGTTTTAAAAAGTTATATTCTGTCCAGGGAGGTTTGTGACATAAAGGTAAAATTCTTCTTTAGATATCCATCAATGTGTGAAGTAAGTACAGACGCGTGCAGAAATATGTAGATATCTAGTAGTACAGGATGGAATAATCTAGATTTATTTCGAAACAGTTGGAGCTTCGGAGTCAGCCTAGGGCGAAATGCACACCTAGAGATACTCAACGCGGCGATTCCGAACGCGGCCAAGAGCCACGAAGCGGGCGCGGCGACTTTAAGCGCGGCCTAGAGGCATTGAGCAGAGTAATCACTTGCGCAATCTCGTGGCCGCTTCGCAGTACTGTGCGCCGCTTGAGAATTGTTTCACGTTTGTCACGAAATTTTTATACTTCTGATTATCGAAATTAGGGTTTAACTTAAATCGTTAACTTCTCAGTATCTTTGGCCAGGTGTGCGCTACGCCTAACAGTTTCAAAAAAAAGTCCAAAGTTTTTATATGCATTTTATGTGTTGTCAGCAATAAAAACATTTTTCTTTCTTTCTTTCTTTCAAGCAGTAAAAACGGACTTCATAATGTTTTTTACTCTTTCAATAATCAGATTTGATAAATGAAAAGCAAACTCTCATTGTAATACTTATTCCTGTTTTCATGAGAGGCAGTATTTCTTTAAAATTATTTTACTTCACAACTACTACTACATTATTTATAAGTCAATTACATAATGGTGAATCACTGAATATTCTGAGGTGTGGATCTTAATTATTTTATAGGAGGTCACCTACCTATACCAGTTAAATGAAGAATTAACTTGATGCGCTGCGGTCAGCATGAGTGAGATTTATAAAAGTATAGAGTTGGTTATTTTTTTCATTACATTAATATTGCGATTTAAATAAAATAAAAACTAAGCTTATAAGATAAAATAAATACAATTTAATTTACAACAAATTGAAAAATATGGTTATTAATACCATACTTTCACCAAAAGAAACTGAACACATCAGGGTGAGTTATATACAGGAAGTACGAAAGTCAAAATGAGTATTGGTATATGAAGGTGTGGAAAAGAAAAGAAATCGTAAAAAAGAAGTCAAATACCTTTTACTCCTTAACTAACATGAGAAGCTGATACAAAATGGGAGTGATTAGATGACTACTTATGAGCTTAAAACATGAATTACATCTTGTCCGAATTCAAGCGAGAAACTAATTACTACTAAAGTTACTTTAGTATATAAGTGATATCTACTGCTATCCTTCCAGTGAGAATGGAGCAATAGCTACGCAGAATGGAGTGACACTTAACATGTAAATAATCATTTTTAGCGAACGCACTTTTCACAAAGTTGTCCTTTACTGATTTTAGCATGCGCTGGTAAATTAAATGTAACATTTTCAGACTTGGGTCAAAGGCTGCAGTTATATCCATAATGTCAATAGCAAGAGGTGCAAAAGTTAGATCAAAATATTAAGATTGAATTATTACAAGTTGCATTATTATTTAATAGTTAACGAATGGACATTGTGATCTATTGTTTTGCAGAAATCATAATATTTGTATGTCAATTGGGGCTGATTACGGCTGTACAATTTAACACCCATGTAACTTTTAACACCCGTGTTTTACAAATAAAGAATTTGATTTTATTCGTTTATAATGATTGATACTCCTCACCCACTAATCTAATGTTCGAATCTGTAACCCCATTACAGGCGAAATACTCCCTATGTAGGAGCACCTTTAACTTCATCGTCGAGAGTCGATAATGGGTCAGCTTCGCACGCAATGGAATGCGGGTATGGCTGATTACGCGACATCAATTTCCCTACAATGAAACGAATCTAAACGGGCGACGCAAACCATTTAGTAACTCGCGCAGATTCTGTCACGAATACAAAATTTGTATTATCAAAAATCTTTGACACTTAATTTCTTCAACATCGAATGTGTCGAGTCGTATGGCAAACACTACTAGTATAAATGGAAAGTAAAAAGAAAATTTAGGTTTTTCAACATGGTAACAAACAATTGAACTTATTATCTAAACTTTACAGGTAATCTGAAGAGAGTCTCTCCTTTTCATTCTGTATACAGCATGTAAAAGGACACTGTTTTCAAATTTAATCTTTAAGGTTAGTAACCATACCAGAACCGGGCCCAATGTATTCTTAAGAGATGGTATGTTTTCAAAACAAATCTGTTACCATACTGAGATAGCGAAGCGTGTCTACATGAAGCCTAGACGTTAGCGAGCGATGTGGTTATGGCAGTGCGAAGACAAGCTTAGGAGTTGCAAAACTTTTCTAGTTATTGATATAAAACTAAAGTATTGTCTGGATGTAAAATGCATGATTGCTATAAAAAATAGTGTTAATATTTTTATCCCAAAACACATATTATATATTGAAATTCCATTAATTGTTGATATGAATGTTGGAAGTGATTAGAAAAGGATACGAGAATAGTAAAACATATACTGCCTTATTACAATATGTTGACTACAGTTATCTTGTCCAAAAAATGCTAATGGTGCCAATTCTGGCGTGATTCTCTAAACTAAAAACTAAATTTAACATCAGTCTCTCCTTTTCATTCTGTATAGAGAATGACAAGGATATACTGCTGTCAAATTTAAGTTTAGGTTTAGAGAATTATGCTAGAATCGACACCACTGTCACCTGTGTTTAGTATGGAGAAGACAGAGACAGCACTAGTTTTAATCAAGGCTAACTTGAGTACATATTTTTTAATAAAAGGGAGTGTTGAACGGATACTACCAAGTAATAAGAGCATTCTAAAGAAAATTGTAATATATAAAGTATGGCATCCCTTTCCTAGTAAAAATATTACACAATAATAAGTAACCGAGACAACGGTTCATGTCTGTTAACAAACTAGTTTTGTAGACAGTATAATAAACATTCTACAACAGATCGAGTTTTAATTAATTTAAGCATTTACTATCCTATGGACTGGGCTAAAACTGTTAACACAATTTGAACTCTCTGCTAATGAAATATCGAAAAGATTTGCAACAACTGCACATAAACGCGCCACTTACAACTTGTCTTTATCTGAACGAGTTTCTCCGAAAATAGAGCTCCTTGCGTTGAACGGAGGTTGGCTGGAAGACTTCTCGTGCTTCACTGGCCGACAAAAACCAACTTTAAATGTTATACGGATAAAGTCCAATTTGGAACAAACAATGTTTTGCGATTTATCAAGTATAGAAACTTACCGCTAGTTATCACTCCACCGTAAGAACTGCTATTCAGCTTGGTTGTCTCTTGTGAATGCTGAAAATACATTTTTGTTTCTCAATTTGGAAGAATAATTCTTCTATTCTTTTTGGAATTTAATGCTAGCAGTGGTTTACTTCAAGACAAAGAAAAGAGTATTACAAAATATGTTCTTAATATTAAAGTTTCTTTCTATGACCAAAGAAGCAGGATGTTAGTGAACATTATAAATATATCTACTTCGTTACTAATGTGCATTTAAATAATGTTATAATAATAATATATAGATTTTTAGCTAAACCATCACCAAATACTTAACCACATTCTCTAGATCACACAGCATGCTGTTTCAAAACAAGGTGTTAGCAACTAAAAACAAACAGACATTATTTCTTATTTCAATGCACTAAAGTCAGTCGTTTTGTATGATTGTTGCGCTATGTAATACGCTTTTTATATTATACGCAAAATTTCAATAACATTATCACTTATCAGTTTTATAATACTTCTTTATTTTCAAAACTGCAATAGTATTTTCAAGTCAATGAAATTACGTAGAGGGTATATTTATAGGTCAACAATCATTATTTGATTAATTAACGTTATTTAGAACAATAATTGTAATAACATACCTCCATCTCTCTTATATTCCTCATAATATTATCAATATCTTCTTTAGTAGGCTCGTCTAACGAATCACTCCGTTTTTCACTCTTGCCATCCTTGACAGCAGCCACAACACTTGCTGCTTTACTACAATGTTTTACACTGTTCACTTTCTTCTGTCCGTCTGTCACACTCACTTTGTCCTTTAACTGTGAAGGCACTGAGTCACTCTTATCACATTTTTGTCCACTTTTGTCCATATTTTTGTCTTCAACTACTTCGACATCGCTGCTGCTATCATCTACAGCATATGGTTCAGCCTGAACAATGTCCCCTAGAGGATCCACATCTGACACTATTACAACGTCTTTCTTCTTTTTCACTTCTGGTGGCCGTTTGTCTGGTTTCGCAAACGTCGGTGAATGGTGCACAGGAACTAAAGCAGGTCTAGGAATGTTGTTTTCGGCTATCCTCATACTTTCGATTTGCTTTTGTGAGATCTCTTCCTTATTTTTCGGACTAGGTTCTTTCTTGCTCGATGGAAAACTGGTATCGACATGCAGAGGAACCTCGACCTTTTTGTCTTTGACGTGATTTGTCTTCTCTGGCTTTTTATTTTTGTCCTTGTCTTTTTTACACATATCATTTAGTGCTGCTGGAGATTTCACTCTGATTAAGCTTTCTTTCGGTTTGTCAAACGAGGGCGGACTCGGTTCTTTCTTGTTGGTTTGTAAAGTGGTATCCACATGTATAGGTAGGTCTACCCTTTTCTCTTTGACATGATTTTTTTCTGGCTTTTTATTTTTTTCCTTATCTTTTTTAACCATATCGTTTAAGGCTGCTGGGGATTTGACCCTGATTAGGCCTTCAGGATGCTTCTCGGTGGAAGTTATCACAGAGTTAGTTAACTTTTTCTCTTTACTGTTGGGGACGGGTGTGATTGTGATGCTGCCAATATTATTGGGGGGAATGTACAAGTCTTCTCTGCTCTTTTCTTCCTTTTTTCTATCATCTGGCTTTTCTACTATTAAGTCTTTGCTGAGAGAGAAGCTATTGATGATAGTGCCGAAGACTTGGCTCTTATATTTGTCGTCTTCTTGCTTATCCGTAGGTCTGTTTGTAGTGGTAGCAGTGACTGTGAGAGAGCTCGGGAAATGAATGGGTTCGGTGAATGAAGCTGGAGGTTGCGATGCTGAGCCAAGCCTTTGGCGTTTCGTTTCCGAAGCTGCTTTAATTTCTTTGCTGAGGCTGCAATGTAAAGATTTCATATGTATTTTTTATGTATTCATATACAGATTCTAAGAATGAATATTTTATATAGCGGCTTATATAGAGCTCATGCCATGTCAAGAGAGAATGCAAATAGTAGGAACAAGAACTTTTTGATGAATTTGTAGTTGTTTGTTTGTTTCTTTAGGTAATATTACAAACTAAAAGTTTATTACGAGCTATTTCTTGTTTTAATTATTTTGTGCGGAGAATTTCAGCTATAATTGAGTACATTCAAAGTCCATGGTGTGGATTCTGGCATGATTCTCTAAAGCTAACTTAAATTTGACAACAGTGTATCCCTGTCATTCTCTATACAGAATGAAAAGGACAGACTGATGTTAAATTAACTTTTAAGTTTAGATAATCTTGCCATTGAATCGACACCATTGTCTCAAACTCTAGTAGCAGTTTAAAGGACCTTATTAAAAAGTCAAAATAAAAACAATGGCTAACCCAATTGATATGACGCAAATCTAGTTCTTAAGCAGCGCTACCAGATTTTTTTTGCCAAGTCGGGATAATCTACGATTATTTAGACACGGCGATTCACGGCGATTATCGTAAGTTTTTACGATCTTTCGCTAACGTAAACATTACGTAACTATATAAACGATTCCTTCTATTCGAATATTTTACATTTCTACAGTAGTTATTAAAGTTTTGAGTGAAACGAAATGCATAACGAGTCAATGCCTAAACACACATATCCCTCTTGTTTGACATTAACAGATCTAACCTAGAAAATTTACCAAAAAAGTTTAAAAAAATTAAAAAAGACAACTTAATTATAAAATAAAATAAATAAACAATTTAAAAATTCGAAATTTCATTTTGTTACGTCATAATATTTATATAATAACAGACTTAGTGATAGGTACAAACAAAGCTTCAAATAAATTCAATAAAATTCTAGTAAAACAAAAATCGTTATGTATTTGTATCAAAATTCGTTATCGTATTGTCCCATTACGGTGTATTCGTCATTCATATTGGTATCGTAATAGCCGTATAGTTGCATCCCTAATTGTAACGGACAAGACCCTGCATAACCCGATAAATTTTGCTGGAAGCTCTCTTAGATACACTACTGGTGAATCAGGGTATTCTGAATCCTAAGGCAGAAATGAGATCGCCGTTTAAAACAGACCTTGGATAACCCGATCGATATGTTTTACTGTTAGTTCTTTTAGTTACATCTGTTAATGGTTAAGGTATTCCTAAAAGACACGAGTAGATTGTCATCCAAAAATCACTGCATGGAGGTTAGAGAGAAGGAGAACAATCACTACGTGCAAAAATTTTGTAGAATTTATAGTTAATTTTTCAGCCACCAGCCGCGCTGCCGTCGGTAAGTAGTATCTGTGAAGTTAGCTGTTTATGAGTACAAGTAGATGAAGTTATTTGAATAATGTACAATTTTTCTTCTGGGCATTGGTCATTTCAAATTAGGGCACAACATTTATTGACACAACTTAGCGATCGCAGCGTCTCACTTATATTGTCTATATTTCTGGGACACTATTTTCTACAGCGATCGTTCTCCTTCTCTCTAACATCCATGAATCACTGAATCCTGAAATTGTAGAAAAGAGTAGATTGTCATTTAGACAAATGTTTAAATTATGATTGAAACAATTAAAATGTCATCTAAAAACCACTGATTCCTGAAAGAAACGAGTAGATGTTCATCCAAAAATTGTTAAATACTGGAAAAAATGAGTTGATTGTCATTTGAAGAACCCAATCAATATAATCGATGAAACTCTTTTAGATATTCTAGTATCGTCTAAGTGTTCCTAAAAACGATCTTCAGTATACACTAGCTGGAGCTACTAAATCTTGAAAGAAACGATTAAAATATCATCTAGAAAGCATTAATGACTCAGCTTGCCGTAACAGAGGGGGCATTCTCAGAAACCCCGCGGGGAACAGCGCCAACGCCCGCAATCTATGCAGTAACGCTCTAGAGCGCGGACACCATGGGAAACGACGTTTGGACACTGTCTAATTACTATAGACAGTAGAGAGACACTGTTCAGAATTCCAACGCCATTTCATATGTTAGACTCCCCTTTTAATGAAAGTTATAATGTAACTAGAATTTGTGATTTAAATTTGATGGAAATTAGTATCTCAATAATACTGTGTTAACGGTAAAACTTGCAACTAAGAAGAACCTAATTAACCTGACTTTTATACTTCACTGTAAGGTCTTTAAGATACTAAGTTAATGTTACAGACGTTTCTTAAAGAAACGAGTCCAGTGTCACCCAAAAAGCACTGAATTCCGAAAGAAACGAATTGTCATCCAAATATCACAGAATCTTGAAAACAATGAGAGTAAACTGTCATCTATGAAAAGGCCTAAATTCTGAAAGACAATTTAGCATCCAAAAAACACTAGACCTTGAAAAAATAAGGAGTAAATTTTCATCTACAAAAAGGTCTAAATTCTGAATGAAACGAGCAGATTCTCATCCAAATAGCACAAATCTTGAAAGAAACTAGTAGATATTTATCCAAAAAGCATTAAATCCTGAAAGCAACGAGCAGATTATCATCCAGATAGTATAACTGACTCACTCAGCTTGCCGTAACAGCGTGGGCATTCTCACAAACCCCGCGGGGAACAGCGGCAGCGCCCCCTTGCTAGCGGCAGCGCCGTGGCCCGCAAACGCCCGCAATGCAAATGCAATAAGCTACGCTCTAGAGCGCAGACACCACGGGAAACGACGCTTGGACACTGACTAATAGGGTATTTGACAAGTTTTAGAAAACAATCTCACGTTATTGACTAATGTTTATGGAGTCCGTAAAAAGTGGATATTCATCATTCTGTTGTGTTTTTCAGTAAAAATAATCAAATCAAAAACTCCATTTTCAAGTTGCCGCGAAAACGTTTTTCTGAACAATATGGCGTCTTACTAGTGTGTGACGTCACACGACTGTTATTAAAACGTCAAACGATACAATGTAATGTCACTTTAACAGGAAGTTTACTTGCGTGTGACGTCATTTGAGGCTCCGCAAACGCTTGGGCGTTTTGAGTCACGTGACAATAGATAAGAAAACTATGGTCTTTTTCGTGGGTTTTTAGTAAAATTATGATTATTTTTTTTTGTAAAAATAGATAAAACCCTTGCCAATATTCATTCTAAACACAGATGCTAACAATTGGCACTTTATTTTTAAGACTGTCAAATACCCTATTACTATAGGCTGTAGAGAGGCACTGTCCAGAATTCCAACGCCATTTCATAGGTTAGACTCCACGTGACAAGTGACTCAATAGTCAGTGTTAACGGCCAAACTTGCAACGAAAAAGAACCTAATTAACCTGACTTTTATACTTCACTGTAAGCTCTTTACGATACTAACTTACTGTCACAGACATTTCTTAAAGAAACGAGTCGAGTGTCATCCAGTAGACACTAAAACATGAAAGAAATGAGTAGAGTGTCGCCAAAAATCACTAAATCCTGAAATCAATGAATATTTTGTCATCCAAAAAGCACTAAATCTTCAAAGAAACAAAACAAGTCGATTATTATCCAAAACACAAAATCTAGGAAGAAATGATAAGTATTTTCTAGAAAGCATTAAACACTCACTCAGCTTGCCGTAACAGTGTGGGCATTCTCACAAACCCCGCGGGGAACAGCGGCAGTGCCCGCTTGCTAAGAAGCGCGGCGGCCGCATCGCCGTGGCCCGCCAACGCCCTCAATGTATGAAGCAACGCTCTAGAGCGCGGACACCATGGGAAACGACGCTTGGGCATACGCTTTTCTATGTGCGGAGCGCCGTCGGTAGCGGAGGCGATTTTGATTTTCTTTCTGTTGGGATAAAAGACAGATTTAGAATCTGTTTAGAAAAATATATACAGTTGTCAGTCTTATTAACTAAGTATGAAAACTTCTCGTGCTTCACTGGGTAACAACAACCAACTTTAAATTTTATATGGAACTTTCTTCAGAGGACCACGCGCGCTGGCCTCCGTTGCCACCGACTTACTGTGGCCACTATTCCTACACGAACAAAGAAATTTGGTGACTCATTTCTTTGTCGTACTATTTGTAAGTGGAATTCATTGCCCGCGCACGTGTTTCTCCCTTCCTACAATCTTGGGTCCTTAACCCTTTAAGAGAGGCGTGAAGAAGCATTTTTGTAGGCCTGCAAGGTGAGGATGGTTGGTGTAGCAGTTTATAACTGCTGCATTCGCGTTTGTATTTTATCACCACTTAACATCACGTGGGGTAGAGTCATATGCTTACCTCGCTATAAAAAAAATGGATCGAGTCCAATAGGCTAGTTGACTCATGTCAATTTGCACTATACAAATGTTTATTTCTTATAATGTTTGGTATGAGGAACCGAAATACATCGATTTACCTTCATAAAATTAGAAGACATTTTTTTAGTCTATGCTTTTTAAACACTCAAAACGCTGTCTACCATGATTGTGCCGTTAACAAGTAAGTAAATGTGTTAGTAAACAACTAAACGTCATTGTCGTGTTATTGTGGTGTCTTTCGTCGCACTAAAATGTATCTAAAATCTCTTACATCTTGTAGAAAAAATTCCGTTTACTGGTTTTGTTGACTAAATTAATGCTGGACGCCGGATTTGTGAAAGCAGAAACGACAAAACTCAGACTTAGTAAGTACATTCATATTTGATATAATACAATCATGATAATTATTATACTTATCATGAAATGTATTAGAAATCATGGTTTTATAATAAAAAATTATATTCAGGTTATTTCTTACGTGCTCCGAATGTTTGTTTACGATTTTGTTGACCTCATAACGCAGAAAATCTAGTTTAAGAACTTGGTTATTAAGTTGAAATAATAAAAGTTTATCAATTTTAGGGTTCCGTAGCCAAATGGCAAAAAACGGAACCCTTATAGATACGTCATGTCTGTCCTGTCTGTGTTTGTTTGTTTTTTTTTCATCAAACCCATATTGTGTGGGGTATCTATGGATAGGTCTTCAAAAATGATATTGAGGTTTCTAATATATTTGTTTTCTAAACTGAATAGTTTACGCGAGAGACACTTCCAAAGTGGTAAAATGTGTGCCCCCCCCCCCCTCCCGCCTCTATAACTTCTAAAATAATTGTAGTACATTTTTTTTAATTGCATGGACAAAATAAAATACATACCTCTCTTCGCGGACCCTTTCACATTCTGCATTGTAGCTGCCAATCATTCCTGGTTTCCGCTCTTCTATTAGCGCTTTCAATCTGAAAAATATGATCAGATTTTTCATCACTAAGTTACTACAATTTATTACCATGGACTAAGAAAGTACCCAATTTTTTGCGACAATTGCCTGAAATTTACAACTCTTCAGAAAGAGAGAAAGCAATGATCCATTCAATACTTATAGGAACTATTAGCCACACAATAATTTTGCCTCTCTCACACTTAGACGCTTACTTCACCAAATAGCCGCATTAGCACCTCCTAATGTTAGATCAGATTTTTCATCACTAAGTTACTACAATTTATTACCATGGACTAAGAAAGTACCCAATTTTTTGCGACAATTGCCTGAAATTAACGACTCTTCAGAAAGAGAGAAAGCAATGATCCATTCAATACTTATAGGAACTATTAGCCACACAATAATTTTGCCTCTCTCACACTTAGACGCTTACTTCACCAAATAGCCGCATTAGCACCTCCTAATGTTAGGTTATTTAAGAAAAGAAGTTTCACTTCTTAAGTGTGGCCCGTGCACACTATTCTTTTTGTGTTATGCCTGAACAAAAAACATTAGGCAATATTTTGGTCTTAGCCATTGATTTCGAATATAAAAAATATATAATTTGACTATTTCAAAATTAAATAAAAATTAAGATACGTCTCGTTTCTGTCGGATCTGGGTTTTTTTCTATGGGGCGTGACTGTTCTCCTTCGACACGCTTATATGCAGCTGATGGAGCGTACTAAATTCAAAGTTCGGACGCAAATTTTAGTACCAGAGCCCCGAAATTTCGTTACGCAGGTTTTGTATTTATACTGTATGCCACAGCAATCAAAATACAGTTGAACAATTAATGTATAATTTCACATTATGTAATGAAAGGTGACTTCATGAATCATCTCTGAAGTCATTTTTCAACTTGACGACTCTGTAAATAATAAAACAGGGAGAAAAAACTGCCCAGTCTGAGTTTCTTGCCGGTTCTTCTTAGTACAAGGTCTCCCGCCGTAGATTTACGAACCGATGGCGTAGCTTCTTGACATTTATATGTCCTTGTAAAAGTCTAAATTGAATGAATGATTTTCATTATGATTATGATTGGATAAGCTGAAGCAATAATTACTTTTGTAATGTGTCAACGATCTTTTCTTCTCTCTCTTCGGGGGTGAGACGACTGTAGTCGATGTCTTCGTGGTCTGCTTCAGCTTTACGTTTGTTATTCACTGCTGTGGTCAGTTGGGGGGCAGTCGTTGTAGGTTCTGATAGAGAAACAAGTTATTTTGCTAATAAATAATCAAAGACCATTATTACTATATTTATATATATTTATTTAATAACTTTATTTACCTAATAAACTTTGTCACTAACGCTATATATATAAATTGTGGAGCTGGCGAACAAAACGGTATAATTACACACTTTTTTTACAGTTCCGAGGTATCGGGCTCGTTAAATTTGAATCTCAAATAGTTTTTAAACAAACCACTTAAAACTACTAAATTTTTAAAAACCATGCCAGAACCTCACTCAGGTGTCATTCAGTTTTATACAGCTCTAGTAAAATTTAATTTTATGTAATAATACCGTTTTGTTCGCCAGCTCCTCAATTGCAAAATGGAGAATATTTGAAATAAATGATTATTATTATTCCACCTTTTCAGGTCGCAGCCTTTTCAGGTGTGCGTCGTCTGAAACGTCAATAAATAAATAAATTTAGCACATCTAACCCGTAAAAACTAGTTTTATTTAATGAGTGATGTGTTTGAAAACCTAAAAAACAAATAAGTGCAAATAGTTTCTCACCTGGGTGTTGAGGGTTCGTCGCGACGAGTGTTACCGGTGTAACGGACGTAGCGGAAGTGACGGGTGTGGCGAGTGTTACGAGTGTAGCCCGTTGAACGAGTTTGGCGCGAGAGAGACGCAAACATCGTGCGGCTCTTGCCCATGCCGTTCGCTTCACGCCGGTCTCTTCGCCGTACGAGGATAATGCTTGCGACAGTCTGATGAGAGAATTAAAATATAAATAATAAATAAATATTTCCAATACAGGCAGTCCTCGTACTTACGGCATGTTAAGTTCTCGAAATACGCGACGTGAATCGAAACGCAAGTGAATTATTCTATGCTGGAAATCGAAACAATTGGCGTATGCTTGAGGATTAGTGTCAAAACATTGATCGACGTAACTTGAAACGACGTAAGTCGAGGACTGTTTGTACTCACAACAAATAGCCTAGCCCCAAAGTAAACACTGTAGGCTTGTGCTATGGGATACTAGGGTAACGGATAGAATACATATACTGATACATATTTGAGTATATTTATTTCGAGAGAAATACAGATACATATAGTTGAGATTTGGTACGCATATAGTTTATGACCTAGATTAACACATTAGGATTCTTATCCCGAAAAATTTTAAGGTTCCTGTGGGATTCTCATAGACCATACCTAAAAGAATTAATTCAGAATATGTTCTTGTAATGATATAATTCGTTTTATGTAGTGTGTGTGTCAGGGTAACTCGATGGAAATATTTGTATATTCCGTACATATTTCGTAAATTCCGTCACACCAAAAGTTTTAAAAGAGACCTGTAATTGGCCTTTCTGTGCAACTAAACTTGTGACAAAATAATTAACACGCTGTTGGCTTCTTAAAAAAATACACATTAAACATCCATGACTCGAGTACAAATGCTCATATTTACAATTTCAATGTCATACAACAACTGCCCCCACTGAGAATCGAACCCGGGACTCGGGATCTCTCGAGTAGGCGCCACCTTGAGAATCGGCGTACGAATCACTCGGCCACGGAAGTCGTAATTATATAATAAGGAATTATAATGAAACTGACGATCCTAACCGTACCAGGATAAAGCTTGTGACAGTCTGGTCAAAACATAATAACACAACATTAATAAGGTAGAGTCTGTGCTGAAAGAGAATGGGCGTGGCGAAAAATGGTACTAACATTAAGATTTTATATGGCAATCCAACCCAGCCATCTGTCAAACGTCAAAGTTTTGTATTGATACGGATTTGTTTGTTGTTGTTATTTTTCGTATTTAATCATGTCTAAAAGGTTTTACCCTTACAAATACGGTAGAAAAACACTACTGCGCCCTCAAATCTAAATCCCATTCTCTTTCAGCACAGACTCTATAGTAATTAAACGAGCGATCTGCGGGTCTTAAGAGGAATTTATTTTGACGCAACAAAATGTAGCCTTCTTTCTCAGGAATATGGTTTAAGAATTTATTGACCTCACAAGAATTTACATAAAATTCACTTACGTGAGACTATCACAATAGTTTTCCAGCAAACAATTTACAGAGAACAAATCATACACAATAACACTATAAACACCACAGTTTCCCAAGAAAATTACATACAACATTCACATTACAATATTCATACAGTTTATGCAGGTAGTTTTAGAAAAAAATAATGTTAATCATCACCGCTCTGCAATGAGACATCGATCACGAGTGACCGATGACAAAAGTAAGATGGTAAACAAAACATAGATTTAGTAGCGTACTACTGGATGTGACTCTAAGCTCAGGTAGTGATAATATGTCATTCTTTTTTATTTCGGCTTTTTTTTTTTTTTTTTAATAACACTTTGTTGTATTGTAACTCTAAATCCTACTAATATTATATTAAAAACGCGATTTTTTTTATTTCTATTTATTAAACATAAAGAGGTAAATATTTTTATTTCGACAACTATATTAATTTTCTTGAATTATTATATATTATTTTTAAGTACAAACAATTTTAATGCGGTTTTGAAGGCGATTATTGATTTTGCTTCTTTAATATGTTTAGGAAGAGAGTTATATAATTTTGCTCCTTCGAAAGTAATATTTTTGTTGCCATAGTTTGTTCTGGGAAGAGGTAAGTATAAATCATTCATACGCCGTAAAAGCTTTGTGTGTTTTCTTTGCATGAAAGTTATTTCACTATGTATTGTTTTGTTTAGGATTTTTCGAACTAATAAACATGTTAAATATATATACGTTTGTTTAATTGTCATAAGTTTCGTTTCTTTGTATAGTTCTTTAGTTGGTGTTAAAAAATCAAAGTGAAACAATGCCTTCACTAGCTTGTTTTGTGCTACCTGTAATATGTCTATATTACTCTTTGCTGCTGTACCCCAGACTTCAATCAAATAATCCAAGTGTTGTTTTATTAAACTATTATAAATGTTATAGCGTACTTTTAATGGAATGATGTAGCATTCTAATGAAATGATGTAGGCCTGGTGCGAAGAGTCCCATACCATAGTATAGTATCTAAACAAAGATCGAGTAAAAAACAAAACAATGAAATCCCTTTTCACGTGAAGAGACACGCTTTATTGATTTCAGGGTTGGTTTTGCCAACTGAAACTTACACACAACTGGTTGCTAACTTCACAACCGCCATAAAGTTTCTAATGAGTATTTACCACCTAAAAGTTTAATTACAATTGTTCATTCAGTCTCGGTATTTTAAAATTAAACTATAAAAATACAGAATTGGTTAATTGTTATTTCTTGAATAAATTACAATTTCTTAAACTTTATGACAGTTTAAATCACACTGTAGGAATCATCTTATTTTCTATGCCTCACCTCGCTATATGATGTTCAGTCTTAAGCTCGAGATCCTTAGCAGTAGCATTGGGGTTGTCAGTCAGGCATCGCTTGACCACCGCTTCTAATTCTTCAATTAATTGGGCAACTGGTGGTGGTAGTTTGACCCTACTCTTCGGCTCCACATCCCTGAGACAATTTAAAAAACTGGATAAATTAACAGAGAACAGCTCAATGATGAACTCATGTTAATTTATACACTGTAAATTTTGAGTAACTTGAGAAACTTAAAAATTGTGTAAATAAAAATTGTGCCAAGTTATTAACATTTTAAAAGTTCTACATCGCCATACAAAAATATTATCCATTTAAAGTATGTACGTAGATCCTAAAAGTAGTATTATTTGAATTAATATACGACAATTAATAATTACATGTGACAGTTTGCAAGTTAACGTGAAGACATTTCTCGATATAATAAATTTAAAAAAATATGTTTTTGCTTAAATATAACCCAAATCGTCGTCTGTTGTTCTGTCGTGGTCGAATTAGTTAGTAGTTTCTCAGTTAACCCAAAATTCAACGTGTATACTTATTGCTCTATTTAAAACAAATTGTAGTTGTTAGTAAGCAACAACAAATATTATTGATCTAACCTGAAAGCCGTTTTTAGACATACTGCCTTAAAAAACCGTTGTAAGTTTTAAACCCTTTTTTTGTAAATAACTTGTAAACAATGTTTTCCTTGCTACAAAATGTTGGGTATTCAACAAGAATATGAGAAGAATTACTGACTGGGCTGCGGTCAGTACCCTGCTCTGAGTGAAACTTTTTACCCAATGACCGTTGCAAACCTTAAAGTTACTGCTGATTTGACAGACGGCTGTCGCAACTTGGTCGTTCCGAACCTCTGAGGGTTTCAATTTTTTAACTGTCTCAAGAGCGGGTAAAATTGTGATATTGACAACTGTCATTTATAAGTGCGAAAATTAAATTATCCTTGGTACTTTTAGGTCCATCCACCAGGACTTTGTCCCGCTCTTTAAATTTACCGGCATTTTTAAAATTAGATATACTATGCAAAAATAAAACTACATATTAAGTCAAATACAATACTATTGTCGATAGTAACTAAAATGAGTAATGTTTCCATTTTGTGCCTAAAAAGTACGGATTTTTTCCGCATTGTCAGGATTTTAGAAATTACTAATTGGTAACTCTATCCCAACCAACGGTCAATACTACTCAATTTATAAAATAGGTGTTGGTAGTAGAAGGGTGAAAATTTTAGGCTTTGATGTATTTTTGTATGAGGTATCATAAAAAAACAAAGAAAAATATCCAAAACAAAAATTTAAGGGTCACCATCCTTAACACTTAGCTGGATGAAAAATAGATGTTGTCCGATTCTCTAGACCTACTGTAAATGCATATAAAATTTCACGAAAATCGGTCGAGCCGTTTCGGAGTAGTTCAATTACGCACACCGTGACACGAGAATTCTAATTAGAAAGATTATTAGGCACTAAGTGACTCACCTAGAACTGTCCGACGTGACGGCGTTCTCTGAACTCGGCGCGGGCTTTGAAGTGAGCGAGTCAGAGTGAGAGGTCCGCGAGTCCACACTCTCGCCATCGCCGTGAGCATTGTCTATGGATTATGTACTAACTTTAATGGTTCATATCATCATAACATTATTGAAGTGAAACTTCTTTACGAGCGCTTGACTTGGGGGGTAAGCTGGCGAATGCGTTACGCGTTACGAAAAGTGTGCTAGGTCTAGGCGAACGGGAGTTGAGTGGGGGATATAAGCAAGAGAAAGCAGTGCGCGCGCACATTCTCTTTCTCTTACAGCTAGTAAATGAAATATTTATATGTACATACATGTATATATTGTACACATATATATATATATATATATATATATATATATATACATACATATACATTCAGATGGAGCTAAAGAAGTTTCAGTTCAGTCGTGTGGTTATAAACACACACTTTTTTTATAGTGCGATAAGTATCTTCATGAAAGTGGCGAAAATTGGAAAATTGGAGCTAACGCCGCCATCTTTGTAAACGTCATATTTTATATGTAATTTATGTAGACAATGACGCCCGCCCTGAACTGTCACTTACATTCACAAAGATCCTTGTCACACTGAATAATATAAATTCTGGACGACATGTTTCACAGATTTTATTAAGTCCCAGTACAAACTATAGTTACACTAAAGCTAGGCCGGGTTAATAGTATAATTATATAATAAACATCATAAGCAACAAACAATGAACAGTCACGTGACATCATAACATGTAAAATGAAATACTTCTAAGTTTTTATTTGACGCAAGTAAATTTTGTTGTTAAGTTTGTCAATTTTGGACTAATCACACACAGCCTTGATACAAAGCGTAGACAAAAGTTAAATCTGGACTAAAAGTGATGCTGTCCCCTTTGTTTGATAAAATAAGACAAAGACAACATTAGGTTTACACCAAGACTAACTTTAGTCCGCGTTTTGTAGTAAGGGGTACAATCTTTTGTCTCTGGTGCATTACATATGTCATTTGAGTTTGTGATAAGCTTAGTCTTAAAGTATTATTTTATTACACTATCAAACTATCTATCCATCTACATTACTATCATAAATTTTCATATCTAACGGGCTGATTCTTTAATCCATGGACAAATTTTATTTTCAGTCCGTATGATATCAATTATACGGACTGAAAATGAAAGATTGTGTTCATTTGACATTCATATTCATTTCTGATGCTGTGGATGGACGGGCCACTAGTTCACTATAAATCATGATAAGGACAGACTGTTGTCAAGTATACAAATACGAATACGAATAGCCAAGCGAAGTGCCGGCATAATATTTACCATCGGATGTTTGTTTGCCAGAAGTTGCCGCTGAAGAATCGGTCCTCCTGATCTTCTTGGCTTTCTTCTTGTCAACCTTTTTGTTTTTCTGAAAACAATAAAGTAAAGGTCAACATCATCAACTAAATACCACATGATAATAATAATATTTTTTTATAGTGACTTAGGGGCATTAATTACAAGGGGGAGGGGGGTGTAGTATATCACGTGTATTTCCGTGGTCCGAGGATACTGTACATTAAATAATGTTCATGTATAAGTTTTTCGCATTTAGTTCATTTTTTTCATGTCTGTCAAAAACAATCTACAACCTTGACACTTTATACCTGAATTTTATAAATATTTTGAACAAGATAATAATATACTAAAAAATACACGTGATATTGGGGTGGTTCTAAACCTCACCATGTATCACCAAGGGGGGGAATTACGATTCTGTCATACTAAACGAAAATATATGAGAAGTTCTAAAATACAACTAACAGGTGATGCTCTCAGGCTCCTTCATAATCTATAGAGTTATATCATATTATAATCTATGATGACGTCACTATTTGTGCACGAGCCATTCTTATGATCGGAATATTGAAAACGGGATAACATCTGCAAATACAGCCGGAAAATGGAAAGAGAGGCAGGGCATAGCGGATTGAAGCACCCGCCTGGGGAAGTAAAGTCAACTCTAAAGAAGATCACAGCAAAATAACACTTCCTTTTGGTGTTTTTTTGACCTTTACAGCGTCACCGGGTTTGGGGACGGCGAGATCCTAAGGGGACCTCAAGCCGAGAATTAGCGAGTGCCACTAGAGGTATTCCATGCAGATGACGTCTCCCCACGGGGGGGTCTCCTCTCCGTCTGGAGCCTCTAGACCACTCGAACTCGAATGTGATAAAGTAAAATTCATACAAAACTGTAGCTATTTAATTACCTTTTTCCGATGTTCAGTCTTATGGGAGTCGATCACGCCGTTGACGACCGCTTTCGGGTCCTTCTCATCCTGACTGGACTCTGACGAACTCTCCAATGACTCTTTCACGCTACTGCTTAACGATATGCGACGCTGTGCCAATGTGATAAAGTAGAATTCATATAAAACTGTGGCTATATAGTTACCTTTTTCCGATGTTCAGTCTTATGGGAGTCGATCACGCCGTTGGCGACCGCCTTGGGGTCCTTCTCATCCTGACTGGACTCTGATGAACTCTCCGATGACTCTTCCTCGCTACTGCTCGACGATATACGACGCTGTGTGCAGATGTAATAAAGTAGAAAATAGATTTTGTCTAAATGAAGTTGTTTGTTATCTTATACAATAGCTAATTTTATAAATTATGGTAAAAAATGATTGTAATATCTATATGTGAGACAGGGGCACATATTATTTGATGATGATGGGATAAAGTAAACGAATTAATATTAAGTCCGTCAGTTAGATTATCAAAAAATATGGACACTTATTTTTTCTTTTGTCAATCAACCAAAAAATAACAAAGATAAAGCGTTTCTAAGTTTGGAAGTTTGATGGATGCTAGTGAGATTTATTTATTTGTTCAAATAAAAGTAATTACTATTTAGTCCATCAGTTACATAAACAAAAAATAAAGGACACTTATTTTTTGTTTTGTCAATCAACCAAAAAATTACAAAGATAAAGCGTGTCTAAGTTTGGGAGTGGGATGGGTGCTCGTGACATCACTTTTTAGTAAAAAAATACGAAAACGTGGAGACCAAGCGACACCTTATATCAATTATACATAAAATCTCTGTAATGTTTTGGCTACTTGAGTGAAAAAAAACCATTCCGATACTTTTTGAGAATTTCCTGTTACAACAAGAAAAAAATAGTGAGTCACCATCCCTATTCTGATATTCTAATACTCATTTTCGACTGAAAACCCAATAATTGATAAATAAGATATCTCACCTTGTTGTTTCTTCTAGGGTCTGCATCGGAGTGTGTCTGGTTCTCTGGTACACTCTTGAACTCGAGCGAGCCGCTGTTGATATAGAAACCACCGTAGAACGTGTCGCACTCCGGTGGGATCATCTCATCGTACTGCACAAAAACAATACTTATCATCTTCCATACACTTTGAAACTTTCGCGTTGCATTATAAATATGACATACTTCCAGACACATCTAACGGCCCACCTAGCATTTTAAGTTTTGACGGTCCCTAGCTAAATAAAAAATTACATTAAGATAAAAGGTTTTACACAGTTCTGAAGCAGGTTTAATTAACCATCTATTCGTATGTTTTTAAAAATGTATTATTTTTGCTCGATCTAACATATATTTCTGTTACAGACCGATAGATGTGTGTGGGTGTGCTTTTTATTGTCAACATATTTTTTTGTTAGAGACATAACATGAAATTTATAAAGCGATAGCCATAGCAATCCCATTAGGCGATTGGCCCCCAGCTCTGATATACTGAAATACCACTCACGCCATCAGTGTTGTCGATAAAAGAGTCGTTTTCGTCGTATCCCGCGCCGATATCCGCGAATTCGTCCTGTTTCGTTCGCCCCGTACGACCGTATGTGCTCTTGCCGCCCTGTCAAATATAAAGTGCTTTTTGAAGGATCAAACAATCTCCAAGACGCTATTACCATGCACGGGAGCAAGGTTACCGCCTAGGAACCTTCACATGAGAGAAATCACGACACCCCCACAACAGAGAGAAAAATGAAGCAAATTGAGGAGCTTGCGACCAAAATGGTATAATTACGCATCTGGGGGCCATTCGCCTAAAGGAAATGCTTTAGAAAACGCTAACGCTTTCGATTTTATTTTGTTATTTCTGACCGCGCCGAAGGTTATCAAATACCTCACGCTCATTTTTTTTAATATTGTTATTACCAATGCAAAAGAAAAAAAAAAGAGCGCGAGGCATTTGAAAACCTCAGGCGGCTAGAAATAACAAAATGAAATCGTAAGCGTTAGCGATTTCCAAAGCATTTCCGTTAGGCGAATAGCCCCCTGGTCAAACTACTTTTTTTACAGTCCGGAGGTTTCGGGTACGTTAAATTTGAATCTCAAATAATTTTCAATCATAACCGCCTAAAACAGTGTTGAAATTACTAAATTTATAAATTAAAAACCGTGCCAAAAGCTCACTGTAGGTATGTCATTTAGTTTTATACGGCTCCTGTAAAATTTAATTTCATGTAATTATACCGTTTTGTTCGCCAGCGCCTCAATTACCACATGAAGGGAAAGGGGTGCTTATCGTAAGTTGCACGGGGCGCCAGGTTTTAAAATACGACCCTGCCACTTAAAAATACTATTGCTCAAGGAAACAATATAGACATAATAGACGATACCAAGAGTAGCTCTAGACAAGCGACGGTGAAATCTCGTGGCCACAAATTCGTCAAGGTGCACGACACAAATATCGCATCTTAGTTTTATTTACTTGAAATAGGGTAGAAAGTACAACGAGCGTCATGTTCATCACCGGCGAGGTGATTATTACTCGCTGGCACAATATGGATGATGATGACGAAAGGTTTTTTTTTCTTCGTCAATTAGGTTATCAGATTCTAGGGTCAGGTCTAACAGATTATCAAAAAATATTGGACACGTATTTTTTCTTTATTCACATAATCAACATATTACAGATTATATATTTTGATTTGAAATGTCGCAGGACGTCACGTCTGGGCACTTGTTTTACTTAGAAGCGACGTAACGAGCTCCGACTACCAAACTTTGACGCGCTTGATCTGTGTAATTTTTCGGTTGATTGACAAAATAAAAAATACGTGTCCTTTATTTTTTGATACTATTAAAAATCTAACTGACGGACTAAACGTACCTTATCTTATCATAGCAATAAAATTGAATAAATAAATTTAATTTCCAATACACCAATTAGCCTAGCCCCAAAGTAAGCACTGTAAGGTCTGTGCTATGGGATGCTAGGGTAACGGATAGAATACATATATAAGTATATTTAAATAGAAATACATATTAAACATCCATGACTGGAGTACAAATGCTCGTATTCATCACACAAAAATCTGCCCCCACCGGCATTCGAATTCGAACGAACCCGGGACCTCTCGAGTCGGCGACACCATGAAACCCGGCGTACAAACCACTCGGCCACGGAGGTCGTCAATCCCGGGTGCCCTTTTGCTCCACAAAATGCCGCCCGGCATTTGAATTAGGCAAGTGTCAAGGTCAAATATTAAGTTGGACTTATATCCAGAAATTTAGAAGTATTATAACCTTACAAGTCATTTATCTGAGCAAATGCTCAGATCAAGTAAAAATACTTGTCATAATTATATATTCACTACTATTAAGTTGAGTGGTGTTAAGCACAAAGCAACCAGCAGCTATTTGTGATTATCGTTGCAATCAAACTTTCAACATGGGGTAGGAGAAATATTTTTCACTTGCTTCAAAAATGCCTGCTGGATACTTTTTGCTCAACACCACTCAGTTTACAAGTAAACTTTTAGTACTTAATTAATTAATAATAATTAACTTTTTATTTCAAATCTACAACTGCCTGTTAGCATAAGTAATATGATTAGGGAATTATCAGTTCAAATAAATTAAAGATAAGTAATATGATTAGGGAATTATCAGTTCAAATAAATTAAAGATAAACAACTCACATATTTCTGTTCAAATTTCCTTGCAACCTGTTTGACATCATCATCATTATCGGAGAATGGGTCGAGACCAGTAGTTTTACCATTTTCCACTTTCTTCTTACGCTGAAAAATATAAATTTTAAATTAATTACTATGTTAGTATTTATGAACAAAGAACAAGAGGAGAATGAAATTAATAAAATCAGTGCAATACATAGTTCCAGACATTTCTTCAAAATCAAACTTGGAAACTTTACCATTATATAATATTTACATATACTTAGATATCTTTGGCCCTTCCCTGTGCTTTTATTTTAGTACATATTGAACATGTTTAAATGGATTATAAAGTCTGTATATCTGTATATTTACAATACAAAATATTTATTTTACCAGTTTACTAAAATCAAAGTCAATGTATTTCTTGTAATATCAGTATTGGACATGAACTTCACTAGCTTATAGGATACATGTAATAGTGATGATGACTATTTTTTTTCCTCGTTTATCAAGTAGATTATCAAAAAGTATTGGACACATATTTTTTCTTTTTTCACATAATATAAACATTGCAGAGATATATTGATTTGAAAAGTCGCATGACGTCACATTTTGGTACAATCTTCACTTAAAAGCGACATCACGAGCCCCTACTCCCAAACTTTGACTTTTTCTTGGTTGATTGCCCAAAGAAAAAATATGTGTCTTTTATTTTTTGATTATCTAACTGACGGACTAAATAGAATTTCGTTTACTGTACCTCATCATCACCCCTATTGTCTCAACCTGAGGATTGAGGCACTCTGTATGCTGAAATACAGGATGGAAATCCTAGTTCGGCAGGAGATGCTGAGATTGTCTTTTATATTCTTAAGATCATGAATGGTGTCTATAGTTTATAAGATGTAATGTTACTTATATATGCTGGTCTAAATAAAGATTATTATTATTATATTACAAGGTTGGGCTGGCCAAGGAGATTAGATAAGATTTGAGGCAGATAAGACAACAGATCTGCAATTTCAAATAGAAATTCAAGTACATTGTTACTTTCATACACACATACTGTGCTTTCACGACATACTTATGTTAAAAAAAGGCAGAGTATTGACTCTGCCTTTTTCTGCCAAGCCACATTACTCAAATCTGACGAAGTCCAAAAAAAGTACACCACAATTTTGCAAGAATAAGAAAAGGATTTGTGGAGAGAGCAGTAGGCTTAAAATGTACCTGTTTTAAGCCTACTGTGTCAAATAAAAATATTTTGATTTGATTTGCACACTTAATACCATAAATCATATATTAAGACAATTGGTTTGCATAGAAAGGAAAATAAATGTGAGAAACTAAAAACTGTATATTTACATTTGTACAACCACTAAATTTAATATGAATGGATTGAATTATCTAAAAAGGTACCTACCTTTTATAACACAGAACACAGAAAGAGGTTAGAAGGGTGATCACAGACCGTTTATACGGAAACCAATGTGGCTTAGAAGTTAAGATTTTTTCACAGCTCCAAGGGACAGTGGACCTGAGTATTTGATATAAATTTCAGCTTGATACAAGGACGTATAAAAAAAGGCGGACAGAGTCCCGGCAAACAACAAACTGTGTCGCTCAGAGTCGGCCAGGTCGCTATACGTACAAGCCGGCACACACACATTCACACACATAGTCAGCCATTACGCGTGCAAACGTCAAAGCAGCCGATACGTTACGTGGAAATAAAAATAAGTTAAAACAAGATGTCTTGCGTGGTAAAATGGTGTAAAAAACGTAGTGACCGAAAGAAAAAAAATCCAGGAATCACGTTTCATAGGTAAATGAACAATATAATCACTTTTTTCTAGTTTTTAGAAATCGAAATCAATTTTCATTCTAAGGACAAAATAATTAATCGAAAGTCCAGTGTTGTCAATGTTCACGTAACCATATTACCTAAAATATGGGAAATTGGGGTGACATTAGCTTCAATCTATTATTTGTTATTCTTTTTTATCAGATTCCCTAAAGAAAATGTAGAGTGGAGAAATAACTGGATCCAAGTTATTAGGAATTGTAACGGAGATGATGAATGGTTTCCAAACAAATATAGTGTCATTTGCAGTATCCATTTTGAAGTTGGAGACTTATATATTACTAAAGGAGGACTCCGGCGTGTTGTTACGCATGCAGTACCTCAAAAGGTAAATTAAAAATTTTAACCGACTTCAAAAACAAAGAGGTTCTATACGTCATATTAGTTATTTTTTTTTAAATTGTTGTTCGTGCATATATCCGAGATTCGTGGACCGATTTTGATGATTATTTTTTTGTTTGAATCAGTTTATTAGCAAGATGGCTGTATTAATTAAGTGGAGAGCTGATGAGTATTCTCGGAGGGAAACAATGGAACCCCTCAATTACAAACAGTACTCAATGCATGTTTTGTTAATTTAAGATATATAAAAAAGAATGCAGGCCTGACCAGGCATATTTAGGTGATTTACTCTGGCTTATGAAAAGTGGAAAATATAAACTTTTTCATACAAAAATAAAAACAGACTTCATGGTAGTTTTCCAATTACAGAGCATAATGCGACTCAGTGGCGAACAATGCCGAATTATGCTGATGATTAATTGGAACGTGAATTAGTTTTCAAATGCACCAGCAAAGTGCGCTAAGTTCAGTGTTGAAAAAAAAGTGAAATATAAAAAAAAATCAATATTTGTACCTTCATCCATACTTAAATTTTATTTTTTAACACAGTTTGAATTAACTTTGATTATTTAAAAAAAAACCTACAATGAAACAAAAGTTTTAAAATATTTTCAACGATAAATAATATTACTAACGATAATATTTAAACAAAACATTTCGATCAATGCCAACTTAAAGAAAAACACTTGTTAATTTTCTGTCACTGAGTTGGTATCGATTGCACGCAACACACGAAAACATTACTTTTGAGAGTGCTTGATTGTGCGAAGCATTGCTGTAGTTGAAACATTCAACGTTAAGAATTATGCCGCACAATGCGGTCTAGTGCTGTAATTGGAAAATTACTCATAAATACAGAACCACTAAATAGTAAGAAATAATACATATTCTTTACATATAATAAATATGTATGTATACTGTTAAAAAAGTTTTATGCTATTTATATGTAACTGTTTTCAATCTTTTCCTCATACATTCACACCATTTACATAGACCTATTAACATATATTTGGTCTAACTTAACGTTTAATCTCCAATGTTATTTGTTTTTAGTTTTTGTTTGAGTACGCAGAAGCGCAAAGGGCAGAAGAACAACCTGTTCCTGTTCCCTATATTTCCAGTGCTTCACAAGAGGTATATAATAAAATAAATAAATATCTAATCCTCGTATTTACTTTTGTTTCCTATAGAAATGAGATTTTTTCCTCTGAAAAGTAGCCTATGTTACTTACGCATAATGTATCTTGATTAAAGATTTTTTAACCTTTCTGTTAGATGATAAACTTCATACAGATAACCCTGATATTTTTTAGAGCGCATCAATGTCTGTGCCAGCACTTGAACAGCCTTGTTCTTCAACTATGGTTTTAGAGCAAGAGGAACAACCTGCTGAATCAAACATGTCAATAGTTGTACAAGAGGTACTACGCTTAAATAAAAAAATATATAGATTTAAATGAAGCTATGAAAAAGCTTGATAAAACTTTTTTGTTACTTTTTAGAATGCATCTACGATTTTGCCAGCAATTATACAGCCTTCTTCTCCTTCAATTATAGTTTTACAGCAAGAGGAGCAACGTGATGAACCAAATATTTGCATGGCTTTACAAGAGGTGCGTAACAATATACATATATATATATATATATAATGAAAAAAAAAGTATTTTTAAATAGAACTTTTAACTAAGAAATCGTATTATTTTGCAATAGTTAAATATATTATATATTATGTTGGAAATACAGCCTGTTACAAAAATACAAATAAAGCTTGAAGGGCGTTGAAGTTCATATAAGGAGTGTTCTCTAATTTTCTTAAAATATTTGCAAGAAGTTTGAACTTTTTATAAAAACAATTATTTTTAATGATTAAAAAAATATCGATCATTTTAAGTCACTAGATTTTCGATTAACCGTTTCGATCCCGGTCCCAATTAATCTGGATAGTCGGCGTTCTACTGTATATTATATTTTTTTTATTATTTTAAAATTAATTGCAAATATTTTTGTTTAATAGAAACCTTCTGAAGTTGGAACATCAGAAGCATTGTCGGTACTTTACACTCCAAGGAAACGGAGTTTAAAACAAAGTATCATCGAGAAACTCGATATTATCAGAAGACAAAAAAGGCAAATAAAAACATTGAAGCAAAAAACCAAACGTCTTCAAAATAGGAATAACTCCTTAAAAGAGATTTTAAAATCACTTAAGGATAATAATTACGTTGATACCGAAACATTCAACAGATTAAAGGAAAACGTAGTTATACTAGACTTGTTTAATAATCTTAACAGAAAAAAATTAAAAAAGAATATAAAATATACACCTGCTATAAAAAAGTTTTTTCTTACGCTGAACTATTATGCCCCAAAAGCATACGACTACGTGAGACGAACTTTCAATACATGTCTTCCTCATCCTAAAACTCTATCGAAGTGGTATAGCCATATAAAAGGAGATCCCGGTTTTACTGAGGAATCCTTTCAGGCAATAAAAGCAAAGGCACAAGTTAGCCAGTATAAGCCTTTGTGCTCATTGACATTTGATGAAGTTGCTATAAGGCGTCAAAAAATATGGGATGGTAAGAAATATATTGGCTTAGAAGACATGGGAACGGGAGCTGAAGAAGGTGCTGCTTTAGCTTCCCAAGCTTTAGTTTTTCTCCTTGTTGGCATAAATCACCGCTTTAAAATTCCTTTAGATTTTTTTTAAGTACACGATTTGCATACCTATTTTCTAAATATTCTTTTATGGCCCTTTACTTTGATACCTCGCTTGACGCATAAGCATTTTTTTTTCTAAATATTTCATTTTGGCGCCTTATTATTGGGCATACATACATGCATACACGCTCGAAAAACATTATCCACCGCAGTCGGGTAAAATTTTGAACAATTAAAATATTATGATCTTTTTCCTGTGTTTTATTGGTAAAAAATTGGCTAACCTAGCAACCCTACATTCACTCACTCATACATAACCGCCGCCATTACGGTGCCTCACTTTTATCTTAGCCGAAATTCTGTCCGCCTTTTTTTATACGTCCTTGGCTTGATACCTGTATCACGCGTTGCTGAGAAAAAGGGTCTTGACAGATGGACAGACAGACAACAAAGTGATCCTATAAGATTTCCGTGTTTTGTTTTCTAGGTACGGAACCCTAAAAATTAACCAAACAACCCAATAAACATACCAATATCAATAATCAGCCAAATATTCATATTCATCTACCTATACGTAGTATTATTCATTAATCTGTGATTCATCATAATAATATGCGCTTTAATCCAAAAGCAGAAAAAAAGTAGCAAGATATCGCGTATTTTTCACAGGATACTGATCAAGTTTCAAGATAAAGTAAAAAAAAAATATCACGTGACCAATGAACAAGAAAGTATCAAAACCAATGAACAAATTATATCAGCGTTGCATCAACGTTCAAGTCGTGTGCTCAAAATCGCGACATTGATCGCTGTAATCTTCAAAAATATCGCAAAAGATTCCTTATTTCAATGTGGTAAAACACAAAACTCATGTTTACAGCTATTTATATATACTGCCATCCATAAATAAACCTAAAAATCTACGCAATTAAGTATATTTTGAATTGTGTTTACAAATTGTAGTAAAGATTACTGGAACGGAAGTCGAATGAATCGCTGAATGAATGTAACTAGCACTTTCATTTGCACAAAAATCACCTCAAGATTTTTACGGCCGAATCTTCATTTAATCTAATCGAATCAAAAACGAGTTCCTTAGTGAAAAAAGTAGGAAAACCATAAAAGGAAGAAAATTATAAATACACGTTAAGTAGGTAGGTACGTGACATAATCTATCGTTAAATAAAAAAGCAATGGTAACGGCCGTACTTAGAGAAATCAATTAATTTGAATGCCTCAATAAATTACATTCACATGCCTTCCTGTTCTATTGCTATCACAATGAGAGTAACAAACATTGACATTAATAAAATATAAAAGTTATTAAAATAATATCAACAAATTACAAAGCAACTAAAAAAAATGCAGTACTCATTCCACACGAAGTCTTAAAACACTAACCGAAAAAGCGCAAAAATCGCGCGTACGGAACCCATATATTGCTGAGCGCTATAAATAGAATTAGGTTGACCGCCGCTGCAATATCAATAAAAAAATAACCTACAACGCCGAAAGATTCGCGAAACCATCGAAAACGAAACAATCTTAAATACGCACAGAGACAACGTTCTTCTACACGCCGTATGCACACAGACAAAAGTATATAAATGAGACAGGTCATTATATACATAACCTATTATTGCTTAGTTACTCGTTATTTACTATTGAAATCGATAACATCAAGCAAAAGCTTCAAACAAACGAGAGCTCGCCAAAGTACGCTCTGACACCTGCACTCTGCAAGTGAATTGACTAGGCCTGCATATTTATCAAAACGAGTTTACAAAACCAACATAACCAAACATTCTACGGTCAATACAATGTTATCCCCTGCCTATATCGCAAAAATAACATCTTAAAATCCTTTTCTATAAGTAAGAGCAGTACCACAATAGTTTAACACCTTTTACGCACGCACACAAACACAATCTCCTTATATACTTCAGTGTGCATGATTATATACCTTACATACACTATAATGAATAACATAGACATGTTATATTAACTTTCGAATAAAATTATATTGAACTTCTAAAACTCTAATACTAGTAACTTAAAGGCAAACAACTTTTTATAGGGAGGAAGCGATCAACGAATTCGTAGGTTATCCTAGGTTATCCAATGTACTCTTGATACCCGATTCGATAACACAATCTGCATTATGTCGTAAGAAAAATTGCAACGTGTATATTTTCATTTTAATGTGCGAAAAAAATTGTTTTCAGTACAACAATATTGGATGTTGGGAATCAAAACATTGGAGCCTTCGGGCGATGTCCTAGACTGACAACGTTTTCCTATGTGTTGCAAACATGGCGACCGCTATCTGGGCTTCTCGTACAGCTCGTGGACACAAATTCATGTCACAAACCTAATACAAAACTGTGTAACGTAAGCAGAAAACATCCTATAACGATCTCGACAGGCACCCATCAATTGCAAGTGTATTCGCCAAACCGTAAATATTTACAGGTTCTTAGTTTATTTGCAGATTCCCTAAAGTACAAAGAGCTGGAAAACCAGTATGGTTGCGTAAATTGCTATGATTTTCTGTTATAACTTACCTCTTCTGCAATGACTAGTTCCTTGTAATTCAGCTCCGGATATTTACTTTCGTTGCTTTCAACCAAATTTATAGTTAATCTCACTGTTTTGTTCACATTATTCTTAGCACTTTTAGGAGCACCCACTGTTATAAGAGTAGCACGTTTAGGGTCCGACATTTTCCACCAAATTCAAGTATAAAATGATTATTTTCAAAGCATGACACGACCTGCATTTTCAAACTCTGTAGCACATTGCCACCATGTTGGAATTTATTGTTTGGGTTGTGAGCGCCACGGATGGAATGCGAACTACGTTCTGTTTACCAGTGACTTCCTCTAGATGGCAGTAAAAGTTTACTTATACTGATCACAGATGGCAGTCAAAATAATAAATATTCACTAGATATATTTTAATTATATCTAAAATAACCGTAAGTAAATTACTGTGAATATAAACTGTATTTAATTTATCCAAAAATGCTTACAATAGAATAAAAGTGAGTGAGAATAGTCTTTTTAAAATTGACTAATCAACGTTTTGTAGAGAGTCACTGAGAGTCCCATTTAAACAACGTACTTACTATAAATAGCGGCAGATGTCACTATTTAACTACTGTTGCTGTTTTACCGACTAGCTACTATCTTTTGAATTTCATTTCTTATTCTTCTTTTAAATATTTTAATCTTCTTCAGCTATAAAAATATTCTATTTTTAAAACCTGGTGTTTCTAACAATCTTTGTTTTTTAATAAATAAGATAATATTAAGTTAAGTCAAATCATTACCTAGTGACGCCATCTATTGATATACTGCGAAAAATAAACTTATAAATTATGCCACGGTCAAATGCTTGTTTAGGGTTCCGTACCCAAGGGTAAAAACGGGACCTCATTACTCCACTGTCCATCTGTCTGTTACCAGGCTGTATCTCATGAACCGTGATAGATAGACAATCGAAATTTTCACAGATGACGTACCTATTTATGTTGACGCTGTAATAACAACTACTTACTAAAAGAGAATATAATACATATTTAAGAGGGGCTCCCATACAACAGACGTGACTTTTTTGCCGTTTTTTGCTCGGTGTCTAAGGTTGTATTTGTTTAGATAATCGTACGGTACGTAACCCTTCGTCCGACTGGCACTTAGCCGGTATTTGAATAACTTCTTTGCTTCTTTTGGTTAAATGAAATCGAAATCTTTTCTATGAGCATATTATTTTATTACTAGCGGGTGTCCGCTAATAAGCCTCATTTTATTTTTAAATAAACTCTTTTACTTTTAAGTTATCCCTCCATCAATATTTGTTAATAAAATTTCTTTGAAGCAAGAAATTAATGATATTATAAATGGGCCAGAAACTTGTGGGAAGTTCTAATATTATGAAACGCGGTTATGATGTAAAAATGTAACAAACGTGATGGTCACAGGATATGCCAATATCAACGAAATTATAGTGCGGTGTCAAAGCCGTATTCCACCTTAGATATCCGAATTCAACTTTTCACTATGAGTATGATGATATTTATTTGTTAAGAAAAATCATATAATTAAGCAAAAAATTTCTGGAACTATAGTCTATTTGATTGATGTTTGATCTTGATACACAGTTTAGATTTATCGCGACCACGGTGTTATTAACTATATAGCGACGTACCATCCAAAATGGCGCATGCGTATACTGCCCGTTCAGTGACTATTTTAAATTTTTTTTCGACACTGTACTATTTTGTCTACGTGGGATTTTTTTATACTGTATAAAGTAGATGTAAACTACTAAATAAAAAAAATGGGTGCGTGTACTTATATGTAGGCGCGTGAGAAGTTATCCTTCTTTGGCATCGTTTAAAATTAGTTTTTAATTGCATGCAAATAATTAATTACAATAAATTAATAAAAAGTCTGGAAAAGGACACAGTCAATAAAGTTCAGTTTTAATTTGAAAAAATAAATAAATAATCAAAATATTCAATTAAAATCGCTACTGAATATAATTTATTAGAACATAATAATATGTGATTTGCACTTGTATGAAACTCAAACACGTATTCCGAATATACAAACTAGAAACATGTGGATAAATATTATAAATATGAATACCTATAACTGTTACTTTATTACAAAAAATAAAGATGTGGTTTTTGGTTCTACTACACCAATGGTCAAGAGATGGCGCTGTAGTCTCCTGAATCGCGCTTTGGTTCCGTTGTTCCAGATTAATAAATACTTTTGATAGGCCTTCACAATGCAGTCGTTAGCACCCACTAAATAGAGATTCTATTTCTATTTTGTTGGTAGATTTTCTTAATGTGCGGTAAACACAAAAGTAACGCATGAAGTTGGTCGCTAAAGCGACCAACTTCATGCTGTTAATAATTTGTGTTACAGTGATGCGCGCGCATCTTAAAATTTCACTCTCATCAATTTTTCATAACGCGCCTAAAGAAGTATAACTTCAAAAAAATAAAAAAACATGCATTGGTATTCCCTATTGATTTCCCATACATAAAGGATGATTTTTGGTTATGTTTATTTTATTACTTGTTTCGTGTCGTCACTAAACCGGTTCCAACGGAAGATCAGCGCTGATGGCAACATCAGCACATGCTGGGTTGGGACCGATTTGAGACAAAAAAAAATATGTGTATGTTCTGTTTATATATTTTATTTTTACTGTTGTTTTGTCCCAAAAAAATGGTGGTGGACAATCGACTTGCGGGTGCGCGGCCAGTTAGAAATCGGGTGCCGCAACTTACACCGCCCACACTCTCGGCAGGGACTTCGGTCCTCACAATGCCTTTAGGGTGACCGGTGCAGGAGTATTGTCTGGTTTTTACCGCTCTGGTAGGGCCCTGTTCATTTCATAGAGTTTTAAAGGTAGGTGAAATGAACGGGAAGGTGCCCAGGATACCTTCTTCATGCTCCCCCAGTGCCCACTGAAGGAGGCGTAAGGCATTACCGAAACATTAAGAAACGGTTACTTCTAGTTATGACATAACTGTAATAGTTGGACTTAAGGTAACCCGGACTTTTTTTGTAGATATTGATGTCCTCTATATAACTTTAGTACATCACTTTGCTCTATTGTCAATAACTTCCGCAGCGTACGCGATATAAGGTTATTTTATGGCACAGTGTGACCTAAACCCGCACTTTACGCACGCTTTTCCGTGACCTAAGTTGCCTATTTCTGCACGGTGAGTAAATGAATTGACCAACTTCACTCATGTAGAATTAGTACATTACGATACGCGTAACTTAACTTTACTATGCCAATCAAGGAATAAACGTTCATGGATACATTGAAATTATATTTTGTTGTAATGATATTTGATTTTTTCCTTTTGAAATATACTTTCAAAATGGTAATCTGAACCGGAATTCTTTCTTTTCAGAGTTTGACTTACAGTCTGTATTGCAATTCATTGTGATTGCAATACATGAATTTTACTTTCAAAACACTAATCGAACCCCCCCTCTTGCCCGCGTCCGGGGCGGGTTTATGTCACACTTGCTATAAAATAGTATACGATACTTGTGGCCTAAGTTGTCTATTACTGCACGGCGTTTAGCAATCTCGCTCCGCTCGGGCGCTAACTTCACGCCGTGCAGTAATAGGCAACTTAGGTCACGCGTATCGTAATGTACTATTTTAGTAGTTTTTTCACACATTGGGTTACATGATCGAAGATTTTATATGGAACCCTAACATCTTTGAAAAAAGTCTAAAGTCCTTAATTTGAAAGTATTTATCAAATCGGTCCAGTAGTTTCGGAGCCTATTCAATACAAACGAACAATCGAATCTTTCCTCGTTTTAATATTAGTATAGATATACGTGACCTTTAGAGCATGTGCATTTGTAGGTATTGCAAAAGATAATAGTACATTAATGCAACAAAAGATAATAGTGCATTACTACAGTGGCCAGCAAAAGAGGCATTGATGGACGAGCATGTAAATGTGGGCCGAGGCGATGCGTAAGTACTTAATATGTAATATTTACCGAACTACTGCATAATATAACCTATAGAACAATATATATATCTTTATATATATACTTCTTCTGTGAGTGTGTATGTCACTGAACTTCTCTTAAACGACTGGACCGATTTTGATGAAATTTTTTGTGTGTGTTCAAGGGGATCTGAGAATGTTTTAGATTCACAATTTTGTCCGCTGGACAACCCCTATTTTTTTAGGGCGGTACGAAGTTCGCTGGGTCAGCTAGTATATATATATAATAGGAACCTCCCCCTGAATATGTCTAAGGCAGCTTAAAAGTAGATTTTAAGAGAGGTAGTGCACAGCTAAAAAACGCTGTTCGTTCGTAGGTTCCCAACAAAAACTTTTTCTTATTAATGTATTCTTTTATAAGATCCATCAATATTAAATTATGATAAATTCAATAAGAGAGAAACCGCGTGCGCATCTAGTTTGTAATGAATTTTCAATTCACTTAATGTAAAGGTAGGCTACTGCAGAGAGATAAACATAAAGTTCTCGATACGACCCTGGCTATATAAATGGCTCGAGAATTGAATCTTGCACCAGAGCGTGATAAAACTGGATCTAGACTAGCTTAAGTAGATCCAACGGGAGTCACATAATGTACAGTTATTTTGTTTGAAAGTTATTGATATGCTTTGCTAATAAAACTGGTAAAAGTGATTTAAACTAAAAGAACTTTATATGTTAATACTAGTAGCCCGCCGTCGCTTCGCTTCGGTGTAGAGCTGTAGTGTAGACTATAGTTTTTATTCTCAGACTTGTATTACACAATGACATTCTTCTAATACCAAATTACAATGCCCCCGCCCGGTCGCGTTGGAACCGCTATGTCCCTGCATTTTAAGTCTGTAATATCTTCGAAAATATTAGTTTAAATTACATGCTTTAAAAGGCCAAATTGATCTATATTAAATGCACAAAGTATTTAAGGCACTTAATTGGATAAGGAAGAATGGCATATTGCTGAAAATCGCTTCGTAAATAAGCTATTATTTCTCGTAAAAAGTATAGGATAAAAATGGTTATTGTGGGTTATCCCTAAGAGATAGACGTATACCATCATGGACGTTTTTTGTAGACCCGATTAAGGTGTACAATACTGTAGTACATTATTTTGATCTATCTCGTAGGGTTCAGCCAACGTTTGCAATGTAAGCGCAAAAAAATGTGTTTATTTACGACCTTACATTAAAAACCTCTAAAATTATCAGTGTTTCTCTACTATATTATGCA